TTAAAAAACGAGAACAGATGAGGTGTCGCCTTCTCATCATAATAACTATGAGTGAATAATAATAAAGTGTGGAGGTATGGCTTTGTTTACTCTTATTTCCTGTTTATGTTGTGTCGAATTCACATTGTACTGCCTGATAGTAACATGCCATTTCAAATCAAATATGTATTTTACTGTAAGCCCTTTGTAAACAGTACATACAGTGACTTTGTACTGTTTTGAACGATTGTATCGGAGATGTGGGTTTGTTCACTAGCTCACTGGTCAGTGGGACACTACTTCCACTCTTTTTTTGATAATCTTATGTAATGGTAAAAAAAAAACAAAAACATAATGAAATATGTACTTAATTAATTCTAAGCCTTTGTAAACAGTCTGTGTGAATGCTGTTCAGAAACAGTGACTTTGGCTGTTCTGAATGATTGTTTCTGGAGCTGGGCAACTCACTGGTTGGTGGGACATTTCCTGCTTCTCCTCTTTGTGTTGTTTTGTTTGAGAAATTATGTTATGTTTATTATGTTATGTCAGGTTTAGGTGTTTTAATCTAAGTCATCTTAACTTAAATTCATTTGACTAATAATGATAAACAAACATGAGGTAAGAAATAAAAATTCCATAGTATCTTATTTTGAAGGTGCACATGCCTTAACACTGTTCTGTTTCTGTGTCTGTTCCCATGGTGACTGGTTTGGAGGGGCCAGCTGAGCCCTGTGGTCCTGAGATCTGATGAAGCTGATGAGAAGAACCCTGTCTCCAGAAGATGAAGAACGACAGATGGAGCTGATCAGGAGTGATGTGATGAAGCTGATGAGAAGAACCCTGTTTCCCGATGATAACGAACAAGAGCTGGAGCTGATCAGAAGTGATGTGATGAAGCTGATGAGATGAATGTAAGTCATCTTAACTTAAATTCATTTGACTCTAATAATGATAAACAAACATGAGGTAAGAAATAAAAATTCCATAGTATCTTATTTTGAAGGTGCACATGCCTTAACACTGTTCTGTTTCTGTGTCTGTTCCCATGGTGACTGGTTTGGAGGGGCCAGTTGAACCCTGTGGTCCTGAGATCTGATGAAGCTGACGAAAAGAACCCGGTCTCCAGAAGATGAAGAATGACAGATGGAGCTGATCAGGAGTGATGTGATGAAGCTGACGAGAAGAACACTGTCTCCAGAAGATGAAGAATGACAGATGGAGCTGATTAGGAGTGATGTGATGAAGCTGATGAGATGAATCTAAGTCATCTTAACTTAAATTCATTTGACTCTAATAATGATAAACAAACATGAGGTAAGAAATAAAAATTCCATAGTATCTTATTTTGAAGGTGCACATGCCTTAACACTGTTCTGTTTCTGTGTCTGTTCCCATGGTGACTGGTTTGGAGGGGCCAGCTGAGCCCTGTGGTCCTGAGGTCTGATGAAGCTGATGAGAAGAACCCTGTCTCCAGAAGATGACGAACGACAGATGGAGATGATCAGAAGTGATATGATGAAGCTGATGAGAAGAACCCTGTCCCAGATGATGAAGAACGAGAGCTGGAGCTGATCAGAAGTGATGTGATGAAGCTGACAAGAAGAACCCTGTATCCAGACAGTCATTTGGGTCAGTATTGGCTGAACTATCAGAGCACAACGCACAGCCAAGTGCAAAATTTACAGAGCAGCACAGTCTGAGCCCCAACAACACAACACAACACACTGCTCACAACCAGCGCCAACAACGTCAGCAAAACTACAAGAGGCTACGGTCCCAACATGAACACATCAGCGCTGCTCCTACAGTACATGGCAGAACGCCGACTAGCCAGCCAATAACTTCATCAGCCAGCCATTATTCTCAAAACAAATGGCTTTGGGGTCTAATCAGAACTGATGTGACGATGCTGACCAAAAGAACTATGTCTTCAGCAGATGAAGGACAAGAGCAGATCAGAAGTGATTGAATGATGAAGCTGACTGACGAATAGAACCATGACTCCAGAAGATGAAGAACAAGATGGAGCTGATCAGAAAAGCATCCTCAAGGAGCGTCCGGAAATCTGTCAATAAATGGAAGGATGATTTGGAATTCTTTTTTTTTTTTTTTTCAGAATTATACAAAGTAAATACTTAGTGCAGTTAGTGCATTATATAACTTTTTGGGTACACTTATTAATATTTAACTACCTACTAATTAGCATAGTTGTAGATGGTTAATTTGCCATTATTAGTATTTATTCAGCCCTTATTAATGTCTAATTCCCCATAAGCTTATTCTGCTATTAGTGAGACATTTACAAACACTTTCCTATTAATACATTCCTTATTACTGCTTAGTAGGATAATACTAAGCCATTTTTGTCCATGAATAATGATTCTAATAATCTTTTGGTAATAACCATGTTGTTAAGGACTAGTAGCACAAGAAATGTAGTTTTTACTTATTTGCACCTAATAAATTCAGCTTACTCATATGTAATAAAACACTCTTCATTAGGTGTTACTAGAGTCCAACTAACCATGAATTAAGTCATTAATCTCTGAATATCTTCCCCATTCTAAAGTGATGTTTTTATTGTAGATAATAAATTATTAGTTTGATACAAGTTGAAATGATTATAGTCCCTTTTCTCAAGTGGTCTCTTCCCACTGAATTCATGTATTGTGACATGCATATTAATAGTTCATACATGAATAGGTAGTTATAAATAAAATAAATATGAACAATTACATTGTTGTCAAGTATATTCTTGTCTAGGTCACCTTTACCTGTATCAAAATATATTATAATATGCTTATTTGGAATATATTTATTTGCTGTGAATAAAATAAATGCTTTAACTAAAATTAATTATACTTTAATAAAAGCATAAACATGCAATGTAGCACTCAGTGTATCCTGAACAGTTTTAAACATTGTACACTTTGCAGTACAATCAAACTTACATAACTGCTTTAACGAGCTTCAATATTCTGATTCTCTTTAATCAGTATGTTTAAGGCATATTGTCAAATGACATTCTTTACAAAAAAAACAGAACAAAAAACTTTTGTACAGAAACTCACCTATTCTGTTAACAGGCACTTGTAATGAGCTTAAAATTTAATCAGCAAAGGAAGTAGCTTTCCTTTTGACTTAAAGTCTTCAGTCTTGGCTTTTTCTTCTTGTGTCATATTGGACGCACACCTTTTGGCCAATGAGAACAAGGTCTCATTTGCATTGTCAAATTTAAGGCTATTAAAAGTCTCTGGGTTGCCAATGCTAAGTTCTGCGATAGGCGCAGTCATTTTGATGGTGCCCCGATCAACTTGGCTCAGTCGGAAAGCCTCTGTCATCGTGTGGACCCTTTTGAAGATCTTCAGGACCCTCTGATAGCTTTTTATTGCCTCATCTGGCCCCTTCATTGGGAAGAAACAAAACAGATGTTAAAATACTGAAGACACTTTGATTGCTGACTTAATTCAACTAAAATTATATACACAGTGGCTTCTAGAGCCCGACCGATATATCGGCTGGCCAATATGGGCACCTGGAGACATATCGGCTATCGGCCGATATGCTTGCTGATATGGGCCGATATTTCACGTGGGCATGTTATACCTCGTTATAAAGCTTAGACTCTCTACATTATGTTCATTTAATCCAATTTATAGACAGATAAATGTCCTAATATGTGGCTCCACATCAGTATTTATCTATGGTGTAATTTGTCTGTGTCCGTACTGTCCCTGAACACACCCCCAGAGTGACGTCACTTCACTCACGTGCTATTGTTTACACCCGCAGCCGTGGGCAACACTGAGATTATTTTCTTTTTTATGGACAATCGGTTTGAGTCTGGATTAAAAGGACATTTATTAGTGCAGACTTGTGATGTGAGGAGGAGCCTGTATGAGCGGTGAGTGTTTCAAATACATCGACTTTGAAGCTAGTTTAGGTTATCTGTTAGCGATTAGCTGCTGTAGCTCCCGCACATAAACAGGCTGTTTCCTATTGGCCTATTGTAAAGTGACTATATTGTCCGTACATTTGTTACTGGACCAGCATTGATATGTAAATGAGCTGTGAATAGACGTGTGAATGATCCACATTTATGCATATAATTAATACCGCGGTGCGCACGTTTTTACGGCTAAAGGCTAATAGCGGTAGTTTATTTACTAGCTAGGAGTTATGGGTCGGTCGCGATCGAAGCGGCTCTTAGAGCGAACAACGGGAGCATGCTTCTTATTGGGAGCCGTGTTTTCTCTTTTTCTCTTCATGCCGCATGTAGACCCGTAGTTTGACAGCAGCAGCGGCTGAAAACGAAACTTTCAGAAATATGCGTGTGCATAGGATTTAAAAAAAAAAAGGGCACATTTGGCTGCAGTTCAGCATAAAATGAATAAAGCAGGACTAATCTTGGGCTTGAGAGAGAGATAGAGACCGAGTCCCGACACTCAGTCCTGGTTCAGTTCTGGTTTAGTCCTGTTTTACACATGGTTTAAATCTGTTTTAGTCCTGGTTTAGTCCTTTTTCAGTCCTGGTTCAGTTCTGGTTTAGTCCTGCTCAAGAGTCGCTTGGGAGCCGAAAGAGCCAGCTGCTTTAGTGAGCCGAGCCAAAAGAGCCGGTTCTCCAAAAAAAAAACAAAAAAAAAAAAAAACTGGAATGCCCATCACTAATAGCTAGAAAAAGATGCAAAAATGCCATTAGGCCAATCTACTGTATGTAAATATGATGTAAAGAGTCAGAATAACAATAAATGTTGCCTAAATAAACCCAATTTAGAATCCACTAGAGCCAAACCTAAGTTTTTTAAACAATTCAAGATTTACAGTGAATTTTTACATCACTAAATATATCGGCGATTATATCGGCTATCGGCAGCTCCAACTCCCATTATATCAGTTTCATATCGGCCACAACAAAATCCATATCGGTCGGGCTCTAATACATACTTACACATTTAACCTGAGAATAAAAAACACTACAACAAATTTCGTTTTGAATCTCATATAATTGTTTATTTCGAAGTCTTTGTCTGTCTTGAACATACACGCCCAGAGCACAGGAACATTACAGAGGTCTGTTAAACACCACAGATCAGACAGTTTCAAGGAGGGACACTGCACCTTTGAGCGTAAACCCTCTTCCTCCTTATCCTCCTCATCCTCCTCTTCCTCCTCATCCTCCTCCTCCTCATATACAAACCATAGTCTTTATATGGGCACAATGAAAATTCACAATACACCGTGTTAAGGGAACATTCAACCATTTTCTCAGTCACCCTCTTCTCCATCACCACCACAACCACAAAACATTAGTCCATGCATACATAGGTTTAGTGTACTGTTGTATATATGGTAAAAAATATATAGCCTTTAGAATAAATACTTCATATAATCATTTTAGAGCAAGACAATACTCATTATAATTTCACAATACGATATGTACAAGTATTTGGCTGCATTTACAACAGTTAGGAGAATATCTTTAACCCGAATGTGAAACAGACTGGATTTCAGGTCTTTGGTCGCGATCCAAAATCTTAAAGGCACACTGTGTAACTTTTCTGGCAGAGGTAGTCTTCCATTGGATCGTCTCCATGGAGATGTTATTGCTTTACCTAGAATGTTCCATAGCGTTAAACATATCATTTATTCAACTGCAGGTGTTTTTCGATCGTAAAAAAACATGCGTTCCTGCTGTGAGTGGGGTTGCCTTTTCACAGACCTGACCTGTAACTTTGCTTATGGTTGCGTCACCTGCTTGTCTCCATGGAAGTAGATTATAGTAGGAGTTTAATGCCAGGCTGTGGAATATTCAAAGCAAAGAAATAACATCTCCATGGAGACAAACAAGCGGGGGGACCTTTCACCAGAGAAGTTACACAGTGCAGCTTTAAACCTCCGGGTCACACTGGATTAAACATATGTAGGTGTTTATTAAAAGATTTTATTTTACAGGCACGGAAGACCATCACACCCCAGCACACATTGAAACATCGTATAGCGTCTGAAAGCTGAGCAAACTACTAACTGTTGTCCGTTATGCCGGGCGTACACTGTGCGATATTTTTGATCGTCATCTTCAGCTCAAACTGTACGACCGAATCACAGGGTTTAAAAGTTCACAGCTCGTGGAACTATTTCAACAGAGCGAAACCCTCACGAGAGGCGACTGGATTTCAGTTTTGATATTCTATTCTCAATCGGGAGCTGGTCATGAGGTATTAATCGGTTCTCATATGTATACCCCATGTTTACTACACGAAGCACGACACACGATTAAGCCAAAACTCAAAAATCGCACAGTGTACTCCCAGCTTTAGTCGTGTGCAGACAGCAGTGGTGGAAGAAGTACTCAATTTTGTAAAAGTACAGATACCGGAGCAAAAAAAAATGTTAAAAGTAAAAATAAGAGTCTGCTTAAGTAAAAAATATTAAAGTACCCATTTAAAAATGCACTTAAAGAGTAAAAAGTAAAAGTATTTCTTGCAGAGTTTGAGATCTATAGTAACGCTTCAAAAGTAGTGATTTCTTTTTCCTAGCTGGTTTTATTTGTACATTTTTGTTCTCAAGTCTCAAACTATAATAATAACTCTTTTACTCTTCAGTCTTGTGAAAAAAAAATATATATATAGTGGAATAGAGATACCTGTTTTCAAATGTAGTGAAGTAAAAGTCAAAGTATCCAGGTTAAAATGTACTTCAGTTAAGTACAGATACCAAATTTTTTTTTTATTAAAAGTGCACTGTGTAACTTTTCTGGTGGAGGGTCTGTCAAATGCATTTCATGGAGATGTTATTGCTTTGTCTGGAATTTCTCTATCTTCACGGAGACCAAACCAGACCAAGATACGGCTCAGATCTGTGGAGAGGCGACGCCGCTCACAGTCAGAATTCACAGTTTTTCTATGTATTTTTGAGATATAAAACCACTATAACTGAATAAATGTAAGGTGAAGCTGATTTATGTCATACTGTGGAACATTTCAGACAGAGCAATGACATATCCATAGAAACAAGAAGATGACGGACCCCCAACCAAAAAGTTACATAGTGCACCTTTGAGTTCAGTACTTGTACTTGGTTACGTTCCACCACTGACAGACAGCCAGAGGATTTTCAAACATGTGCAGCTGTTCTGAGACTTTCCAGCTGTAGTGTATGGCCCCATTGACTTTATATAGAAGAATTATGTGTCGTGAACATTTCCGTTGAAGTGCAGTCGTTCATATACATGTGTTAATATTAGCACCATATTAATAAATGAGCAGAGAGGAGAGAGGCTGCCGCAGAGCCACTCTTCCACTCACATCTGCACTATGTCTAAAAATAAAACCAGGTGGCTCTGATACAGCTGTGTCACAAACTGTTGAGGGGAGAATACGGCCCATTTCCAACCTCATTTCTTGTTGTATTTTGTTACTAAGGTCATAGAGATGATTTAAAAGCGCACCACGTAACTTTTCTATTGTCTGTTGGAGTGTCTATAAGCTCGTTTCCGTGGAGATGTTTTGCTCCACAGCGTCAGTACGGCCTTAAGTGTAATCATCTCATATCTGTTTACACTACCAGGCCAAGTTAGAGGTCAGATCTGTGGAGAGGCGAGTCTGCTCACAGTAACAATTGTATTTTTGAGCAATAAAAACACCTCTGATTGAACACTTGCCATACTTCTAAGGCAAACCAATAACATCTAATTGGAGACAAGTAGGAAAGTTAAATCTGTGTATCATTTGTTCAATTGTTTTTCAAAATAAAACTGAAAATAAGAAAACAAAAAGAAAAAAAATGCTGTTTTCTTCATTATTTGTCTCCAAAACCAAAAAAAAAAAAAAAAAAGGATAACGATTAGTTTTTTCAGTTTTCATTTTTTGTTTAAATGACTAATGGAAGACATGGATAACGACTGTTTCCCAGTTCTGTGACTGAAACTATGACTTTTGTGCCGCATACGGACTAAAATAGGACTAAAACCAGGTCTAGATCGGTCTTAGTCCTGGTCTCAGTCCCAGTCTGAGTCCTGGTCTCAGTCCTGGTCTCAGTCCTAAACCAGGACTAAACCAGAATTGAACCAGGACTAAACCAAGACTGAACCAGGAGTGTCGGAATGGGCCCAAAGGTGCGCCCGCGTAGACTGTGGGGAGATCAGACCGAACCGGGACTGAAACCAGGACTGAGACCAGGACTGAGGCTGGTTTAGACCTGGTTTACTGGTTCAAGACTGGCTTAGACCTGGTTTAATCCTGTTTTAGTATGGGTGTAGACCTGGTTTAGTCTTGTTTTAGTTTTAGTTCTGTTTCAGTCCAGCATGGTTTAAGTCAGGAAACGGCCGTTATCTGTTTTTTCCATTATTAACTTAAACACAAAATAAAAAACTGAAAAAACAAATCATTATCGTTTTGTTTTTTTTTTTTTTTTTATTTTGGTTTTGGACACAAATAATGAAGTAAATAGTTGTTTTTTTCATTTTCTTATTTTTGGTTTTATTTTGAAAAACGAATGAATTGGATTAAGTTACATAGTGCACCTTTAACGAGACTTTTCTGTTAATCTTGAAGTAGCTTAAAGCTGACATTTTGTGGTGTTTAATTTGACACATCCAGCACCATACACTGTACTGCAGACGTTTTTAGCGACTTTAATCTAACTGTCAGTGAATCAGTTTTTGGTCTTCATACAGTGAAAATTATATTATTATGAACGAGTGAAGCAGTTCAATTAGTCATCCAGTCCAATAACAGGATCATGTTAAATATACAGACCAAAGCAGATTTCAGAAAAACTTAGAGGCACTATGTAAGATTTTAGGTGGAAGGTCCTAAACTCTCTTGTTGTTTCACCTGGAATGTTCCACAACACGGCATAAATCTTATCTATCTCCATGGCGACAAGCAAGTGACTGCGCTAAACCAAATATTTTCTGAAATGCCTGTTGAATAACGAAAGAATGGACGGGTTTAATGCCATGTTGTGAAACTTTTCAGGTAAAGCAGTAATATTTTCAGACGCCAACAGGTGATGGTGATGGACCCTCTACTAGAAAAAATACGTAGTGTACCTTTAACAATAAAACAAAAATAGACAAAGTACATTTTTATATTAAGCATATTCTCCTGATGTTTTGACACAATGTTTTATTCTATATTAACTGGACATTTTTTATAACATATGTGGCAGTTAATAACTAGCGTTGCCCTTATTATTTATTCTGATATTCTGTCAAACTTGGCTTTCAAAACCCCACTGGTTCTTTTCCTTGTTTGTGACACTTCAGGTTGCAGTGTAAACATGTTTCTGTACTTTGAATTATTTGTAGTAAACAGGAAATCAGACCCAAGTCCCAAAACTCCATTATCGCTGTGTATTTGCTGTAGGCATGTGAGGCATCAGATTAAGGCTTAAAAAAAGTGAAAACACAACTCAACCTGCCCAGATCACAACTGACAAGGTAGTATTCGATTCATATTGCTTATTCTTACACAATCACATCATTGCTTTCAGTTTACCACCCTGACAGTTTAATATAATATTACCTCAAGACAAAAGTAGAATAGACTATATAGGTGGTGTTCGTGTTATAGAATATGATAATGTTGTCAATTCAGATGGAGGGCGGGGGTCTGTATAACGATTCACGCTTTTTATAATTATTTGTCGACTTTGTTGACACTTGCCATATTAATATTATGTTGTAAAGTCATTTCATGCAAGTTTATGGACTCAATTCCTAAAAAAAAAACAGATAAGTTTATGGATCTTGTGAGCTTTAAGCCATGTTATAATATTGTTACTTCCTCAAAAACATACCTGGAGTTGTGTTTTGTTTCATTCACACATATTTGAGTAATCCTTTATCCACCTTGTGATGTCATGTAGTGGAAGATTTCAAGTTAACAGCTTCTTTTACCTTTCATTCAGTAGAAATAAGCAATTCCAGGGCTGAAATGATCCAGATGATTCTAGTGAAGGCATATGGAGTTTAAAAGCACAGTGGAGCACTTCCTATATTACCACATGACAATGCAAGGTGGAACAGAGTGGTTTCTGTTTGAGAGAAGCGTTTGTGTGTGAAAGAAACAAACCACAACTCCAGGTATGTTTGTAAATAGAGTTTAAGTTTGCATATTCCTTTAAGAAACCTGCCTCTCCTATAGAGTTATATATGGGCCCCTGCCCTCCATCTGAAATTATGAAATCATCAAATACTAAAATGTGAACACAACCTATTGAAATATGTATAGACATCTGATAGTGATTTAATGCATTTTTTAGACAAAATATCTTCTCATGTCTCTGTGTTAGTCTCATGCCTTAGTAGTTCATCTTGCTACATTATATTGGAATGTTTCACAGGCAGCCTGACATTCTTTGTGCATTTGTAGCAGTTGCATACATGATTGGGTTCAACAAGCAGGCGACAAGACAGTACAAGGGGATCTGGGGTCTCATTTATAAACCTGAATGTGAAAATTCTACTAAAAGTGTTCATATAGGGACACAAATTTCCACGAATGTCCTCAAATTTGCTCAAAGTTTTCAAACTGGACCGCTAGTTTTCGTGTTAAATCCGCAGTGCAACTTTTCAGGTTCTGTCACCATGGAGATGTTGTTGTTTAGCCTGGATCTAGTTCCATGCCAGTTTACAGGTCCAGATTGTGGAGAGGTGAGCTGCTTATAGTAGACTGTTTATTTTTCAAGGTATTATTTTATTGTAAAAAACACCTGTAAGTAAATAATATGCTAAGAACCCTTAAATAATATTTTTATAGATCACTAATTTAATGCGGAAAATCATGTACGTAACTTTTTGCTTTATAAATGAGACCCGTGAATTGGATTTGATGGGAACTGGAGTGATCATGAGGCCAGACAGTATTAGAACATACTGTGTCAGTACTACAGTGTGGCCAGCAGGGGGAGTAACCAGGGATTTGCATGCAGCACCCTCCATTCGCCATACATACGTTATATCAGTCTTCAGAAGACTCTACTGCCTTCACAAGACCAGTTTGTTTGTGCTATTGTTGTGTATAAAAATCATTCTTTGTTTAAACTTTACACCTCCATCTTATTTATTTAGTTATGTGTTTATTTTTTTATGTATTATAAGATGACAGTCGTGCTCTGCAAAGCCAAAGAGAAAATTATTTTAATTGTTTTAACGGTCTGTACCTGATTTTTGTTAGATCTAGTTCTAGTTTACAACTTTTCCTTCATTCAGCAGTGTAAAAATCAGACATTCCTGAACAAAGTGAGAGTGAGTGATAGTGCCTATACATTTGAAAACACCATAATAAAACCATAAAAAAGCAGATGTCAAGTGGAACCAACTATATTCTTCTATCCAAGCAGTAGTTTGTCTGTCTCAGTTTACTTCAGAGTCAGAAAACATATCTTCACTCTTGTGCAAAATCAGGTACAGACCCTTTCATTTCCCCAAAAGTTTTTCTTATCATAGGGTGAACTGTGTATTGGCAGAGTGGTTAGCATTACTATCTCTGTAACAGGGTTGTGGGTTAGACACTGGGTCTGACGAGTTTGTATGTCCTAGTACAGGGGTCATCAGACTTTCTTCTCTGGGGGCCACATTATCGCTCCTGACTGTGATGGGGGCCGGGGTCGGGTCAGCTGGATAACAGAATTGTATGACCCTGATGACGCAGATTATATTCTTTGAAAAGCACCACACTTTCTTTATATATCAGACAAACTGCACGGCCCATACACTGAACAAAAAAATAATTGGCAGTCCACTGTTCTTTGAAAACTCGGCACTCTCTGTCAACTTTTCATACTTATACATGAGCCATTTTGTTGTTCTTAACTGCACTACAGAACTCTGCGTGTGCGTTGACTGTTACTGTTTGATTTTGCGCTTGTCAGATGACAAAATTTCTGCAGCAAATGTAAATATGTCATAATTATCTAAATATAAAATATAAATACTTCATATAAATATCATTTTTTAATTGAAAAAAATCAACAAAATACAAGATGCAGACACGTTATTATTTGCCAAAAGTAATAAAGGGCTTGTTAATAGGCCATGACATCTTTTGAGGATTGCCTCATAGGGCCAGTTCAAGTGGTGGGGGGCCGGTCAAAGCGGTGTGGCGGGCCGGAGTTGGCCCACGGGCCTTAGTTTGATGACCCCTGTCCTAGTACATAGTGTCCATGTAATCCCTCAGTGGTCCAGGAAGGATCCATAGCACAAGAGAATTTCAATTCTTTCAACTGGACAAAAGTTTTTTCATAGTATATAGTGACAAGTTTTCTGTCTTTTCCCAAAGCTTTAAACTTTAAGAAATGATACTGTACTGAGGCAATGCAGAGCAGAGACTTGTATATTTAACAATGGATTAAACTGGATATAGTGTAGATTTCATTTCATTAAAACATATGGCCAGAAATAATATACTCTGCTCTCTATTTTCTCATTGATATATAGTGCCTTGTTGACTCATATGATAGGACTATCTGATATTATTATTATTATTTACACAAACACAATACAAAAGTGCAGTAAAATACATTTTTGTGTTTGTATATGGTTAATCTGAACAAAACTCTAAATATACTACTTTATGATGGCTTATGTTCAATACAAAAAGAGTGATGTTGAATTTGTTAAAGAAAAATAGAAATCATATTATATTTCATTTTCAAAAGGTAGATCATGTGCTTGGTTTGAAGAGCTTGATGAAAAAGCAGCAGTTTCATTTTAAATTTCTTCCGTTGTTTCTGCTCCACCAGAGATGGCGCTATAGATCCAAAAGCCCCATTCATTGCAGCATATCTGTTCAATAGCATGTTGTATGGAAGAAAGAAATTATTGTTACATAAGTTGAGTCTTTCCATCCCCAGTATACTTATCCATTGTACACTGTTGACCCTCTCCTGTATTGATTGGCTGAGTACTTTTCGGTGCATTGTCCTGGTTTAGAGCAGGTCCGGAGTTGACTTTTCATAGGATTTCAAAAGGTCAACTATATCTTGATGGGAGGCTCCTTCAGCTACTGCCAGGGCTGTCTGTCCATTCTGTCAAGGCAAAGAGAAAGAAAGACTACATTATTATAAGTCCAATTCAAATAGGCGTTGTAGTGACTGTTGAGCTCCTGATGGTGGCAGTGTTGTGTTGGATTAGGAATGGCGGCTGCTGCATCTGCATTACCCTAACACTGTGATCGATTTAGATACATGATTTAGAGCCTATAACTTTTCGTGAAGTATGTGGGAAAAGTAACAAATGAACAAGTTTAGGGGTAAATGCTATTTCCATCAGGATTTAAGTTCTTATACTGAGAATTTTGCAAGCATGTTCACAACCCCCTAAAAATGAATGAAAATTGTAATCTGGTTGATCAAATAATGTATCTTTATCTAAAAACTTTAATGAACTCCATTTAGTAAAATCATGCATAATTTAAAGGTTCCACTGAGTGACTTTTCTGGTCTGTCACTTGCTTGTCTCCATGGAGATGTTATTGCTTTACCTAGAATATTACCCAGTATAGCATTAAACCTTTATCCATAATTTATTTCATTATGAGCCTTTTAATTGAAAAAATACCATAGAAACCACCACACAAGCAGGTGGCGGACCCTCTACCAGAAAAGTTGCATCTTTAAAGATGCACATTACAGTATAACTGTTCTATTTGAGGTTACGCTGTCTGCTTGTCTCCATGACGATGTAATTGATTTGCTAGAAATGCAACTTACATATATTCCATTAAAAATCTTTTTTTATTATAAACAAACATTTTTTGGGGTTGCCTCTCCACAAATCTGGTCTGTAACTTGGCCTAGTGTCACCTGCTTGTACCCATGGAGATAAACAGGTTTAATGCCATACTCTGGAAGATTTATGGCAAACAATTACATCACCATGGAGACAAGCAGGTGGTAGACCCTTCACGAGAAAAGTGACATAGAGCACCTTTAATTCACTGCACACAAAATTTGCAAGCGTTCGAAAATCTTGAAGTTTTCATCTCTGATGAACATGACTGGAAAAACTGAAATATAGCACAATTTCTGGTGCTGCTCTTAAAATCAATATATGTTGTGCGAAATCTCCAGCTTCAAACTAAATAGAATGTGAAGAGTGTGTGTGTCTCTGATCACTGCCAGAAGTCAACTTATTTCTCTGCTATCTGTAGTATGGTTTTTCAGATCTGGTACAGGCTTATGAGCAGAGTTCAGTGTAAAAGTCTTGACCCTTCAACTTATGTTCCCTCTGAATGAAAAGAACTTCTACTACATGTTTACCTGAACTGATAGGATTTTCGGTGGTCTTTGCTGGTAACATTAAATCTTAAAGAGGTATTTCATAGCTTTTTTGTTCAATCAATGCAGAGTCAGACCAAGGCAAGTTGCTAAAGCAAGACTAGAATTTGAATTTGAAAATATGCAAAATTAACAGTTGTTTATAATTATTTACCCTAACACTAATTACTAATATACAGCACTCTGGGATTTGTGTAAAATTACATAATGTGGTCCCAATAGTAAACATGCATAGACCAATTTAACCAATTCATCTCTAGACCAAAAATAAGTTAGAACTTTGTATACAATATTTTCTGCAACTAACTCTTCCTAATAATGCACAGGTATGGCATCTACAACTACAAATCACAGCAAATCCACTTATCTCCAAGGAGATATTTGTGGTGACAGAGCCGTGGTCCCACAACCCAAAGGTCAGAGGATCGATTCCCACTTGGACCAAGTTCTGTCGTTTTGACCTTAGGCAAGACACTTCATCCACTGGCGAGTATGAAAGTGGTGTGTGTGAATGTGGTGGTGGTTGGAGGGGCCGGTGGTGCAGATTGGCGGCCTTGCTTTTGTCAGTCTGCTGGCTACAGTAATAGCTTGCCACCACTGAGTGTGGAGTGAATGAATAATGACTACAGTGCAGTGCTTTGAGAGGCTTTGACAAGCCTGTAAAGCACATTACAAGTGCATTATTATTATTAGATGTTGATGCTTTACCTAGAATATTCCACACTGAAGCATTAAACATATCCATCTCCCTGGCAGTAAGTGAAGCTATCAGCCAGGACAAGTTGCAGGTCAGATCTGTGGAGAGGCAATCCTGTTCACAGAACATTCCAGCAAAGCAATAACCTTCATGCAGATAAGCTGATAACAAATCTCCAGCCAAAAAAGTTATGCAAAATGTAGTAAAAATAGATGTAATATTTGAAACACAAAAAGTAGGCATCACAGCATAAAAGCTACTTAGTTCCACAGCCCACACATTTAATCAACTGAGAAATCATATTAGTATTGAAAACCTAATCAAATGTTTACGCACCACATCTCACAGTAAACAAACTCCCCCAACTGTTTCCATCCAGACTTTAAATCACAAACCTCTCAGTAATTATTCCCATACGCCTTTCGCTGTACCTCAGGATGTCCTATGTACTAAACACTGGTTAAGGCCCACAGCTGTAAATTTACCCAGCTGAACTCACACGCAACATGCAACAACGGCGTTAGCAACTTCCTCTCCTCTTCCCCGCCGGGCGCCATGCTGTTTCTAATTTGTTCCTTCCATCAAACACCATACATTAGATCTTACTATAGCAGACACACACAACCCTGAGCCAGCAAAACTTCACCTGGGTGCCTCGGAGTGGAAGTGGGATACAATAAGATTTGATTTATACACGCCATTTACTCCACCACCTTTTGGCTGTTTCCCAGGGCTACTCCAAATATTGTCGTCACAAAGTAAAGGCAAAGTAAACTAGCCGTTGGATTTATGAAGATTTGTAGGTTGTAAAGATAACAGGCAATGGCTTCCTATAGATTAGACATGAGGCGTTATACAATAGACTGTCTGGCCAGTGATAAAATGTAAAGGTCCTATATTACACAAAGTTGACTCTTGTGAGTTTTAAGACATGTTAGAATAATGTTACTAGGGGTGTGCAAAAATATCGAAATAGCAATATATCGTTTCATTTAATGTGCTGATACAATATCGATATTGTGGGCTGCAGTGTCAATATATCACCAAGATTAAGAGTATGTAGTATGACTTGGTACATTTACTCAGTTATTTTGTTACAGAGCAACAGTTTTGTTGCTTTTTCAGAGAAAGGAAACTTGTTCATGCATCACATTTGATATTTTCATTGTTTTGATGATTAAAATTTGTCTGTTTCATATGAACTTTGCACAAGAAGTGGTTTAACTAATACTTTTAACCATGATTATCCTTTATTTTTTAATGAACTGTATCGAATCGATTTGAAATATATCGTATTGAATTGAAAGTGCGCTGTATCGAGATATGTATCATATTGTGGCCTATGTATTGAGGTATTTATCGTGTCGGCAACTTCTTAATGATACGCAGCCCTAGTTGTTACCTCATCAAACACATACCTGGAGTTGTGTTTTGTTTCATTCACACATGTTTGTGTGTATCAGGTGTAATCCTGCATGAGTAGTCTATCTAAGTCTGTCTATCTAAGGGCCTGTTTACACGTTTTGAGGGTAAAAACGACAGAATATTTTATCGTAAGTGCCCTCCATTTAGTTTTTGGGGCTTCAAAATGCAAAAATCTAAAACCACCCTGAAATCTACACTGCCCAAGACGCAAAACTCTGGCCAGATCTGCTCACGTCGGGTGCACGTTTAGGTCACACACATCACAACCTAGCGTCACCACTTCGCCACCTGGCATGCATACCCAATCAAATTCCACACACTTTTGCGTCACCGTATGCATGCAGATCTCCCGAAAACACTCATCTAAACACAGAATAAAAAGACGCCGTCATATAAATGTAGGCTAAAGCTCAAATGCTTTGTTCCACGTTGTGATGTCATGTAGTGGTAGTTTTCAAGTTAACATCAACCCTTTATTTTTAGTTCAGTAATGATTGGTAATTCCAGGGCTGAAATTATCTAAATGATTCTGGTGAAGGTGTATGTGTGACATCACAAGGTGAAAGATGGAACAGTGTTTTCAGTTTGAGGGAAGAACTCAGCCCAAATATGTTGGGTTTGTGTGTTAAATATGTGTGAATGAAACAAAACACAACGGTCGGTATGTTTTGGATGAGGAAACATTTAGCAACACTATAACATCGATCAGAAAACAGTGTAATATAGGCTCTTTAAATAAATGTGCCTGGACCCGTGCCGAAGTTATAAGCTGATGTCATAAGCTAACATTATGAATTCATACATAATAGGGTGTTATTTTGGGAAACCACCGTCTAATGAAAAGAGACAGCCGATTCATTCTCAACAGTATTCTGTGATGTAGGGTTGCTTGGCTTCACTGCCTCTGTATATCCATAATGAACCAGACTAAGATTAAATAAGGTTTCTTTCAAACATTACTACGGTACTTAAAACTTTTTTTTGTAGTAAAGCAATTATATACGCAATAGAAAGCAGCTATTTTTCATTCCTCTAACTTCTCAAAACTTACTTTGTTATGTAAGAGCACTTTACCGCACTATTCTCTTCTGGTGCTTTGATATTCAAGCCTGCTTACTTATTTGGGGAGTGGCTAAATATTACAATGGTATAAAGTAGGTATGTGTAAAGTAGGAAAGGGTGAGCTATCTAGATGACAATTCATATTTAGTTACAAGCTTTGTAATTAGATTGGCCAACAAATCAACTAGACACTTTCTATATTACTAAGTTTACAGGCAATAGTGTTAAGAGGTAATTGACGCTGTTGGCTGCTTGAAAATTCACACTTCACCGTGATTGGTTGAGTCCACTTGTCACTCATGCTGAGAGAATGACGATGGCTGACTAATAAGAGGAGTGGGTGTGGGTAAGTGTATGCACTCGAGCATAGGACTGCATTAAACAGAAAAGCACTGAATCACCACTTGAAAACATCACCAAAATAGCCTCTAACTGTGACTATTCAACTTCACCTTCACCTTTATGCCACCCAGTCCATTATTTTTATGTAGCACAATGTATAGTATATTGAAAACATTTCCTGCACTAAAGTAGCCAGAAATGTAGCTGTACTAGTCATGTACAAGCCCACGGTATGATTACAGATCGAAAACTTCTCTATGTCTTCTTAAACACCAGTGTTGTCCATTTGGAAGTCAACTTACTTAGTACCACATTACTCCATACCTAAGTATAAACAAGACAGTATCTAAAGAGTTGTACTGAGTACCATTATGAGAAAGAATAATTATACATTTAGCCATTCACCCAGAATTCAACATTCAGCCCCATAGTATGGTGGTCCAACAGTGGTTCTCAAACAGGTGTACCACTGGTATTTGGCAGTGGTACACCTGCTAGTTCTGGTGATACGTGTACTTTTGGTTATTAATTATTATGTCATAGTCCAGTTTTAGACCTGCTTTAGCCCTAGTTTAGACCTGATATAGTCTGGTAGTTACTGACCTGTTATAGATCTGTTGGTACTTGGAAAGCTAAAGATTTTTGTATTTTTTTTATCCTCCTGGGACCCAAAGAAAAAAAGTGTATTGCAATATATTTTTGTGATTTTCTCTCTATACCTTAGCATTTAGATTTTGTTTATTTTATTTTTATTTATAATTTTGTAAAATGTCCTCTGTAATGGACGCCGGGGACATTTCGGTGTTAAATCCATGTGAAGTTTAGCCTGATTTATCAGCCAGGTTTACTTGGTAGAAACTATCTGACCTATCACAGCATTAGAATTCATTTCGCTCGACGGTAGGTGGGTACTTTTTATTATTTAACCAATTGCTGCTATTTGGTCGTGACGTATGTAATGTGCCGCTAATGGGGCTAACTGGTATATTAAGCTTTTCCCAAATTCTGTAGGAAGAAGGGCGATAACATCTTTCCCCTTGATAAAATTCACTGAACATTCTCTTTGTTCCGGCTTTAAATCCTCGGGAATCATTGCCAACACAGAATGTATGGCTCTTTGTTGATTGGCTGGTGCCCGGACTTGCACTTCTGGGGTTTTTGCGAAACGTCTAGTGAATTCTGATTCCTGACCTAGTCACTGGAGAGAAATGAAATTAAGCGGGAGCACTAGGTGGCACCAGCCTGGCTATCTGAAGTTAACAACCTAACAAAAACAACTTATCCACTTTATCCTGGACATGATAGTAAAGCATAATCCTCCAACACTATTTAGGGAGAAGAACCTAGTCCCCCCATTTAGAGTCTATCTCAAAACACTTAAAAGATAGACTGGTTAACTCAATGTCCACTATAAAGGACACAAATGAATGGGTTGGGTCTCAGGAAGATATTTTTGAGGCTATCTTGGTGTGAAAAGTTTGAGAACCACTGAACTAAGGATTTCATCTAAAGTTTAGCCTGGTTCACTCAAGAGTAAAACTTTGCACTTTAAATTGTCCCTGTTTCTTGCCGTACACTTGTGATGCCTGTACCTTATCAGTGAGGCTCATGTCACACTGGCCGGTCTCCAGCAGGAGGCGTGTGATGTGCGTGTGTCCGTGTTCACACGCACACATCAGCGCTGTGGAGCCCTCTCGGTCCTGAGCGTTCACATCTGCTCCACAGCTCAGCAGCAGCTTCACCATGGCAACACGCCCATGGCTCACGGCGAGCATCAGCGCCGTCTGGCCGGCCTGCGGGGGGCGACAAGTACAGGGCGTAGTGACGAGCGGAATTAAACAGCGAGAAGAAGATTTGGAGAGAGCTAAGTGATGGAAAAACATGTTCTTGTGAAATTTGGGTAGTTCTTTGGTGTGTGTCTTATAATGCAATCATGGATCTGTTAAAAATTAAGGAAAATTGCTTGTTTTCATTACTAAAGGCGCACTGTCACTTTTGTGGTGGAGGTTATGGTTAGTTTTTGCTGTTATCAAGCATGTTCCACAGTATGGCATTAAACTTATTTAGCTTCAGCAAGTCATTATACAACCAATCTGTGGAATAAATACCAAGATTTTTGAATAATAAAAAAACTATCACTGAATAAATGCAAGACTGACAATGTAAAAGAAATTTCATTGGATGCTCATCAACCCCAAAAGCCATTTTCTGGCTTCTGGGGTGAGACTTATGAGTAGGATAAATTCCCAGTCCTTCAAACCATCAATTGAAAAGGTCTTTGAAAGGTCTTGATCGCAAAAACAGAGTCCAGATGACCACAGATGAAACCTTGTCTACATTGAATCAATTCTGGATGAAAGAAGGATTACACATTCATTCTCATTTTACGATCAATTTAAATGTCGTACTATGGAACATTCTGTGCAAAGCAATAAAATCTCCATGGAGACAAGCAAGTGATCGACCTTCCACCAGAAAATTTACATAGTGCACCTTTAAAATTGTAAAATGAAAGTTTTGACTGAGAAAAAGAACAACTCGTGGGCTTTGTTATAGCACATTTTTAACAAACAAAAGGGAAACTAGAGCAACGGCTAAAGTTTTTAACACAAAAAGGAGACAGTCAGTGGCTATGGAACTATGTATTTCAATAGCGGTAGTTTAACAATAGTTGCATTATAAACTAAAAGTATGTATGTGGTGTTTTAAAAATAAATTGGTAGCTTTATATGTATGGAAACCACAAAGATAAGCACAGTGAGCCTTTTTTAAAAATGAAAAATGCAACAATTTCAGTTTTCAGTTCCTATGACCTGAAGCTAAAACCACTCTGTAATGTTGGCATTCACAATAGATGACCTTGCTGTTTGAAAGATGCTGACAGTAAGTTTGAATACAAAGTGGCATTCAGAAAATACGCAAACACAAGAGCTTTTTATTCTCCGCTCCACCTCTTTTGTTCTTTCATATGTTGTGTAAAAGCTATAGCGTTAAGTACCTGACGTGAGCGCGCGTTGACGTCACCCATCTTCAACAGTTGTTCAGCCACCTCCAGATCGTCGGGGCTCTCTGCAGCTGTGAGGGCAGCCAGCATCACCGGAGTGTACCCCGCTTTGTTCACATTATCGGTCTCACACAGGCCTTAACACCAACAAATAAGTCAAATATAAATTGGTTAGACATCGCAATACAATAAGATTTTTTTTTTTCCATTTATTTATATACCAGGACAACGTAAAATTACATTAAAGGCCTTGTACTTGACTTTTTTCTCACGTATTTGAGCCCCAGTTCAGATATAAAGATATTGTATAAGCAGCTCTTAAATACTCCACGTTCCAAATGATTATGCAAATTGTGTTTAAGTGTCATGAAGGCAAAATTCTGACTAGGCTATTCTGACATCCTACAAAGAAATTCAAGCAGAAACTCTCCACAAACTCACAAGTTCATTCGATGCAAGAACTGTGAAGCTCCTATCAAATAAGGGGTCCTATGTTAAAATGTAACTTGAAGATGAAGATGTTTTGATTGAAATAGCTTTTGATGTAATATGCTAATGCTTCTAATCGAAAAATAAACAAATGACCATTTTCAGTTCCTTACGACAAGAACATGGTTTGAAACTCTGTATTGCATAATCATTTGGAACAGTGCATTTTAAGTTTTTAATTTTGAAAAAAATACTGATATAATTTGGAGGTTTGTCCAATAACATTCGAATTGTACTCTAAAGGTTGATGACTTGAAAATTATGATGACTGTCATTTATATTGACAATGTGGCAAAATCCAATGGTGTAGGTTTGGTCTCAGCTTTCACAGTTTGCAAAATGTACAGTTTGTGTCCATTGCTCTTCTAAGATGATTCTTTAGCGGATAACAGCGATGTAGAAGTTTGTAGCAAATTTGCTTGTTGTGATGATGAGATATTTGTGAAGTAATGTCTGTACATTTTTCCATGGAATATTGTCAGTAGAGCGGGCTGCAAACAGTGCACGAGTAGGGCTCAGTTTGGGAGGTGCACTTGTGGTGATTGTCGCTCTTTTTCCGAGGAGACTCCTTAGTTTAAGTTTAATTGAAGATGAAGCCAAATAAGTTCCTTTTGAAAAGTTTTCCAAAGTTTGGTGCACAGCGTCTTCACTCACACCTGCTCAAGCCGCCATCTTCAGTTGCTGCACTGTCCTGACGCTTCCCCAGTTTAGGCTCCTGGCTCCACTAATGACATCACTCTGTTGTAGCCAACGACATAGTTGCAGAAGTAACACTATCGTCACATCACTGAATACATCTCAGAATGTCTAATAGACAAATTGTGAACTAAAACATGTTAAATTAATACTATTGAGTTTGGAAAAATCTCTGAATAAATGTATATTTTTGTTTATTAAAATAAAATGTCAAATATTGGTGGGAACTATTTTGTCTTCTCCAAATATTGGATGTGACATGTCCCCAACGTCTCTATACAAAACACCCTTGGCAAAATCTGAGAAAAAAATAATGTACATAATAATTTAGAACACAATGTAGAAAGCATGTTATTGTCAGATAGTCAGGAAGTACGTTAGCATGCTATTTGTTATTGTCACGACAAAACTCTGGTTTTGTAAAAAGTGCTTATAAACTCATTGTGGTGAATAATTAGGATGTTTGGAATACATAAGGTAAGTGAGGAATAACTTTGGACCACTGCAAACCATTTAAAAAGAACTAGTTCTGTTTTTCACATTTGAAAGTCCCTTTAAGCGTAAAAGCAGAGATGCTGGTACCAGACTGTAACAGCTCATTTCCATCTGCAGTCCTTGGGGGTAGGGGTCATAGTGCAATATATACAGCACAATGCAGGTAATACATTGAGTCTTTCACTTAGCAGTTTGACAGTTTACCTCAGTGTTCACACTCAAACACCATAAAATAAGCTACATTCATTTCACAAAATCGGATTAATTAATTATGACTCAGCAAATCTACCATATTAAACTGTATATAATCACGTCTTTGGGCTTGACAAATTCCAGCTCTCTTTGAAGCTATTCTGAATTTATTATTTTTTTACCTAATTTCTGCTGACAGAGAAGGCATTACACTTTGAGCCAGTTATTGTTTCATAAGACCAATAAAATGAAATGGAAAGTTATGAACTATAAATCAAGATGAAACAAAGGTAAGTTCTAATACTGAATCCTGACCTACCCTCCGGCTCAGTTTTAAAGTATACAGTTTATGTGAAAGTTACCTATTTAGTGCATCAATAGAGCACTATGTCCTTTAGCGCTGGCTTGGTTTGTGGCTTGTTTTTATACCTTCATAGGGGTAACCTTTTTAGAAATCACTCAGAGTTTATTATCATAGTTTAAAATGCCAGACAGGTCGATAGAGCGGCTAGATGCAGTTAACACGGTTGTTATTTTGACACAACCTGTAACAGTAGCTTCAACAAATGCCAACAACCCATGGAAAATGTGTGAAATCTACCCGTTATACTGTAAATGTATCAGTAATACTCCATACATATATTCTATTCTTTTCAACTAGTATCTACAATCAAATGAATAAATTTAAATTTGTTTTTAATCCCAGTATCAAAACATTATTGCCTGACAGGGCTTCAAAGTAATTGTATCCTATTTGTACTCCCTGGCAATGAGAGGATTTACCTAAGCTGTAAACAACAGTACATATGATGCTAGTATGCCCTACCAAACATAAACATTACTGAACCTCAATGAGATAACATGAGTAAATCCTCTTCAAGGTTGCCAGAGCAATGCACAATTCAAAACAAAATATTATATCTTTGGAATGGTGAGTCGTCCTCAAAATGGCACCATATAACAGGAAACCCAATAATATCCTGTAATGCATTATTTAAAGGTTCTATATTACACAAACCTCTTGACTCTTGTGAGCTTTAAGCCATGTTATAAAGCTGTCACCTCATCAAAAACATACCTGGAGTTTTGTTTCATACACGCATGTCTGTGTAACCCTTTATTAAAGCTGTCATATAGTGGTAGTTTTCATCTTAACAGCTACATTTTACCTTTAGTGCAGTAGAGATGAAATTCCAGGTCTGAAATCATCCAAATGATTCTGGTGAAGGTATATGGAGTTTAAAAAACGCAATGAAGCACTTCCTTTATCACCACATGATATCACAAAGTGGAACAGAGTGCTTTCTGCTTGAGAGAAGAACTCAACCTAAATATGCAGGGTTTGTGTATTAAACATGTGTGAATGAAACAAAACACAACGGCAGCTATGTTTGTGATGACGAAACAACATTATAAAACATTATACATTACAGATAGACAAAAATACTGTGATATGAGCCCTTTGAGATGACTATAATGAGAAAATTGAAGTCTGACCTGTATCGAGCAGCAGTTTGACCACAGAGAAGTTGGAGTGGGAGACGCTGTAATGCAGAGCCATGTTTCCGTTGCCGTCGGTCAGGTTCACCACGTAGGGCAGGAGGGTGGGCGTGGTCATCCCCACTTGTCTCAGGTAAAGTCTCACTGTATCTGCTTTAGAGTCCTTCTGACTGGACACCCTGAACCACTCCTGATAGAGCACCACCAAAACCTGCCGCTGAGGGGGGAGAGTCGAGAGGTGTTATAAATGAAAACGCAGCCAATGGCACTTTTTTATAGTCTCCCTAAACATCATTTTTACTGTTAAGGCTGCACAGCGTGGCCACAAACTACGTACTGATATTATTGTAGTAGTAAGTCACACAGCTAAGCAAGGAACACAAAGGACCTAAAGCTTTTTTGCAGCTTAAGTAAACATCTGTTATATCTGACAGGAATCTGCTATTAAGTGATAACTACGTCAGATCACTAAATTCTAGTATAGGATGATAGTGATGAACGCAAAAACATCTAGCATTTATAAATTACAGGTGTTACTATTGATCAAAAATAGCATAATTATTTCTGTGAATAGGGGCGACTCTCCACAGATCTGAATTGTAATGTAGCGTAGTGCTGTAACCTGCTTGTCTCCCTCGTGATAGATAAGAGAAAAGCATTTGACGGATTCTCCCCCCAAAAAGTTACACAATGCACCTTTAATATACATTTTCTTACCATTTCTTTATCAGGGGATGACACCTCTTCCATCCGGTCTTTTACATAGAGACAGGCATCTACGAATCCTCGGTCAACTTTCTCCCTAAAAACAAAGAAATGATTATAGATTATAGAAAGAGATTATAAATACAAATTACTTGTTTAAATATATTTGTTACTATCATTTTGTATGTGATGCCCTTAGACTTCCCTCTCCCTACACACTTCCTCCACTCCTATGACGTTTTAATTTTTCAAAGCCATCTGTGAAAAATGTATGGCTTGCACATGTAGTCAACATTTGGGTTTAGAAATTCAGGTTAACCCTCTTTACTGACTGTTAATGCTTGTATTGTTATGTTGTGTATATTTGTGTGTGTGGAGGTGAGTGGGTGGTTGGAGGTTTTTTGTTTCTTTGTTTCATCCATTTTTATTTTCCTTGTGCAGAGTTTTAAAATTGAAATAAATAAATAAATTCAGTATAAGCCCCTTCCGCGTAAACATAACTCACCAAGCTGACACATTTAAAACACATGCTGCGAACTTACTAATAAAGATTAAACATCTCATCCACCTGCAGTCATCAATCATTCAGTCAGTGGACAGGCTGGACACAGTCACTGCGCTCTATACAGCAGCGCAGGCACAAACACACACACAGACACACACAGTGCACACAGGTGTACACAGGATAAGACAGGTGTGGAGTGATGGATTAACATTGGCCCCTGTGCTATCTCAGGGGCCCCACTGGGACTGACCCTTTAGCCCACAGGCCTGTCCACACACTGACACATTTCAGTAATCATTCAGGGAGGGATACAACAACACAACACTATGGGATGCAAGTATAACAACACCATAACGCAATGGAAGTCAGTGAGATTTTGAGTATATTTTTGTGTATTTTACCATTGGCTGGCTCTATATAAGTGGGTTGTGTAACTCTAAATAAATAATAAATAAACTATGTCTTTTATGCCTCCCTGTATAGTCTCTACATCTGTTGCGACTCTTGAGCCATGGGTTTTAACTTGTAACTTGTATCTAACTTTTCAGGTTGACATCTGCTATCTCTCTGTCTCAATGGAGATATTACAACTTTTCTTAGAATGTCTCACAGTATGGTATTAAACTTAATTATCTCCATGGAGACAAACACCAGCTACAGATCAGGTTTGTGGAGAGACAACCTCACTTACTACAGTTTAAAAGGAACCTACATGTTTAAAAAACCCAGATTCAGAACCCAGGTTGTGGAGGGAAGCATCACTGTGAAAGGAGTTAACTTATGGAATAGTCTTGACAAAGATATAAAAAAATCAAGTACAATGATGCCATTTAAAAAAAAACAACACATGAAATCAAATGCAATGTGTATGTATGAAAAGTAAACTAAGTCGTTGTGCATAATAGTGAAGATTTCTGTTTGCAGTTGATTAATAATTGTGCCTGAACTGAAATGTACTTTGATCTGAAATGTTTAGTAACTTTCTGTGTTGATGTTTTGTCTGGAAAAGGGGGCAGATAACATAAGTTTCCTCTTCTTTCTGCTCCTTTTCATTCATTTCTTATATGTTGGTTGTTGTGACACTGTTGATGTCTTTTTATACTATATGAAATGAAATAAATAATCAAATAAATAAAACAGTAAGAATGCTTGTTTTGTATGTCTAAACAATCTGTATCTGAATAAATGCAAGACAGATTTAATGCCATTGGTCGTGTCAACTGTTTGTCTCCATGGAGATAGATAGATTTAATGCTATACGGTGCAACATTCTAGGAAGGCAAATAGAGGGCAGACCCCACTCCAGAGAAGTTACATGTTACCTGGGTAATCCATAGCACATGTATGTAGTCTTGTTTATGTATTTATTATTTTTAATGAGAAGAAAAAGTATATCTCACCCATCTTCCTCCAGGACCTCATGCTCAGGTGTTAGATCCAGTAGCCCCTTCTCACTCTCCTCTTTCACCCCCTGTGCCTGAGCCTCTGGCTGGGTCTCCGCTCTGGCCTCTGCCCCCTCTGCCTCTGCTGCCCCTTCTGGTTCACTCTGTGCTGCTGCTGCTGCTGCTGCTGCTGTTGGTGCTTCCTCCTGGACTCCTTCAGATTCAGGTTCTTTCTCTTTCTCCAGTTCTGGACCTGAACTGTCCTCCTCCTCAACCTCCACCTTGGACTTCTCATCTCCACTGGACTCCTCACTGGATGTGGTTTCGTAGCTGGAGGAAGACACAAAATGAATTAGGATTACTGAATTGTTATGAGGTTTCAAAAGTCCCATTTTACACTATATATATTTTAATCAACGTTATAATGTTGTTTCCTCATTAAAACATACCTGGATTTTTTTTTTTTTTTTTTTTACACATGTTTAACAGACAAATTCTGCATATTTACGTTAAGTTCTTCACAAACAGAAGCATTTTGAGGTTTGGAGATGTAGATAGACTAATAATAAAGGATTATTCAAACATGTGTGAGTGAAACAAAACACAACTCCAGGTTTGTTTCACCTCCAGGAGGTAACAGCATTATAACATAGCTTAAAGTTGACAAGAGTACATTTTGTGTAACATTTAAAGCATTTGATTGAAAAGTCACAATTATATAGAAATCTGTTGTCGATGGCTGGAATTTTATCTACTTCTATTATGTCATATGGCTTTAGTCAACTAAACTAAACAAGAATTTATAGAGGCCAAATACCAAGTTCAGTCCTTTGTGAATACAGTATTACAGAAGATCCTATAAGGAGTTCACAATGATTACTAATAGTTAATTGTTTAGTTTTATTTTAGTTTAACTGAAAGTACATCACATTTTGTTGACTTAAACTAGACTAAAACTAATACTGTCTAATAATTATATTTCTTTAAAGCATGCCAGATAAAACAGAGTAGTTTGTTAAGTTGTTAGTTCAATACCAAATGCTGTAACAGACTTGTTTTTGCTCTTTGCTCGCTCTGATTCATGACCCTGTATCAAATGAAGGTCACTAAAAGAATCCAATACTACTGCTGGGGCTCATGAGCTTTGTAAGAGCTTTTTCTTGTGTGTTTCAAATGTCATGGCCACATTTTTACTCATGTTTAGTGATCGGTCGACAAATAAAGGTCAGTGCTTTATTTGTTGACCAATTACTAAACTTTAGTAACAGGAACAGAAAAAAACCTCTACTTAGTGTTTCTATGGTCTAAAGATAGAAATTTCCATTATACATGATCAATATAATTTGTTGGTTAAGTAGGAAATGAATTGAGTTGAGCTTTTTATTTGCCATTAAGTAACCTCATACCAAATCTATATTTTGCATAGATTTGCGGAATCCGTTGATAGCTTTAAGCCAAGTTATAATGTTGTTAGCTCCTCTAAAATATATCAGCAGTTGTGTTTTGTTTCATACACATGTTTGAGTAACCCTTTATGAAGGTTTGTCTACATCTCTAAAGCTCAAAATTCTTTGTTCCCTTGTATGATGTCATGGAGCATTAGTTTTCCAGTTAACAGCTACCTTTTACCTTCTGATTAGTAGAGCTTGGTAATTCCAGAGCTGAAATCTTCCAAAAGATTCTAGTGAAGAGGTTTGGTGTTTAAAAACACAGTGGAGCACTTCCTGTGTTACCATGTGACATCAGGGCAGTATTTTTGGGAGAAAAACTCCTAAATCTGCTGTGTTTGTGAATTAAAAATGTGTGAATTAAACAAAATACAACTCCAGGTATGTTTTTGATGTGGAAACAACATTAAAACATAAATTACGAAACTGAGTAATAAGGAACTTTAACATTGTTTCCCAAAGACTGGGTCACAAGAGATTTTTTTGGGGGTCGCCTTGTCATGATCTGCATGCAGTTCTGCAATATACATATACATATATCTCCGCGCACCTCACCTCAATCCTAACCAGTTTTCTCTGGGAAACACTGATGACTGTTTTTCATTGTTTAAAACTTGAGTAATACTAACTGTTCAGAGAAACACAATCACTCAGTCAACAATAAAATATCCTCATTAATGTTCAATAATGGTCACAAATTTTATTTTGTGGGTCGCAAAGATTTGTGACTTTTAAAATATAGGTCCCCAGAAAAACTGTTTAGGAAACACTGCTTTAATACATTTGATTGACCATTGGTATATAATGTTGTCTTTTTAAATCACTTAAGACAGCTGCTATTTAGTAGCAGATTACACTTAATTACATGACTTGCTATAATTGACAGAGAAGACAAACAAGCTCACTGCTCAATTTCAATCACTTTAAACTTTGAAGTCCTGCTCAGATACAGTCCAAGCTGTGAAACCAAACACACATACACAAGGTACATATTTACACGATGGCCAGATGATTTAAAGTCAACACTGACCAAGGTAATGAAAACACCTAACAGACCATTCCCTCTTTGTACTAACTATAACATGAAAAAGACATATGCACATTTAACCTCGGCCAACATATCCAAAACATCCCTTTAAATAGATAAGCATACACAAAATCCACATGTATGTTTGACAAATAACCCAAACTGGACAAAACTTAAAGGTGCACTGTGTAACTTTTTTGGGTTGGGGGTCTGTCACCTGCTTGGAAATGCCATTGCTCTGTCTGGAATGTTCCACAGTATGACATTAAACAGCTCCACTTTATGTGGTTTTACACCTCAAAAATGCGTAGAAAAACAGGCATTCAGACTCGGAGCAGGGTCACCTCTCGACAGATCTGACCTGGAATTTGGTCTGGTTTGGTCTCCATGAAGGTAGAAAGGTTTAATGCCACAGTGAAACATTCCAGATGAAGCGGAGAAAAACATTTGACAAACCCTCCACCAGAAAAGTTACACCTTTAACCTTCTTCTGTACAATTTTTGCATGATATATTCAAAATGTGGGAGTTTACCTACAAAAAAACCTCTACAAAGGATCAGATAAGCCTTATAATAAATACTATAATTCACACACGCACTATAAGAGGTTTTTTGGGGGTATAACCTTGCATGGATTCCTCAGAGAAGCTCAAGACAGATGGGAGATAAAAGTCGATGAGCCCAAAAGTTGAAACACAAACTTTCTGATGTGGGCAGATGCTTGAAAATAGCCAGGAAAATGTTGTTCTTTTGATGTATCTGTCTCATTAAAAAGGTTCGGCTTGGTTTAAAATAATATGTGGGAGTCTGTTTGGACTGGGGAGATTGCACTGGAATTCATTAACCGCGCACAGGGGTAGATCGCCAAATAGGTGCACAAATAAATGAACTTCAGGTAATAGGTGTATGAATAACACAAAGTCAGCATGCAAAATTACAAAGGGATTTCACTGTTAGTAAGTTAAGTAAGACGGGGCAATTTGGCAGGTTTTTCATTCGCATACAAACATTGTACATTGTGACTGGATCTGGCAACGTGAGGAGTGTCTTGCCCATGAACACAACAATAGCCTCTGCTTAGATTTGGAGGCTCACAAAACTGTTAATATGCTACTTTTTCCTCTTAAAATGCCTTGACAAGACTTAACCCAAAGAACTAAGATTTAAAAGCGCATTGAACTGGTATTTCTTCATGTAGTCTACACTGAAATGAAGCAAAGGATCATGGTCTATGTAGTTCCCTCTGTCTTTTTTATTTTTTTATTTATCTGTCTTTTCTATTGCTCCACCGTAACTCTTAATTTAAGCAAAGAGACTTGGAATTTGATATATTGTGATGGTCCACGATATTATTGTGAGAACTTTGATGATGCGATATCACGACATTTTCGGTTATTGTTACATTCCTAAACATGTATTTTTATTCAGGGTATCCCCAAGTGTGATGATGACAAATTTAAGACTTTTTTAAGACCTTCTTAAGAGCACTTAGATGAAAATTAAGACCAAAATCGTACCCAGGGCGAAAAACATCAGATCCAATTCTAATAATGACCAGCTAACTGTCGGTACTGCATCTAGAATCTAAGAGCCACTGTGGATTAAACCTAAACTTCCTCATGATCCATCCATGTCCTCCTCCACTCTACTGATTGTTTATTCATTGCCGCCCGATAGAGATGCGCGGATTGCGGTTACAACCGCGGTATCCGCGGTTAATCCGTGGGTCGGGCGGATGACGTGACAAAAAATTATATTTTAATTAAATTGGCGGTTTAACTACTTAAAAAAAAAAAAAAGTTATTGTTAGTATTGTTACCTACATCTGAAAAGACGAGTCTCATTGTCTATGCTTGTAGTATGAAGTGTACGTCATGTCCTTAATTAGCCCATTTGACCTCGTTTTTATGTTCTGAAGGTTAAGGTTGTGTCGGGTTATTGATGCCTAAGGTTTACGAGGCACATATTATATGCAGTTTATTTTATTATTTGTAATTTATTTCAGCTGTTTGCCAACACGTAAGTGGCTATAGGGCCATATTTATTTAGTTATGCATATTTTTTCTTGCCTATTTCAATTGGAATATAAAGAGGGCATTGCCTGCTTTCAATAAAGGTTCATCTGGATGAGATGATCTGTCTATTTTGTTTCGATATCAGTTATATTTTAAAACACGCAGACATTATAGCGTAGACTGCCACTCGGGTGTTTAAAACTTAAAGAAAGACCGATGGAGTGAGGCTATGACTTTGATATCGGCAATGGCAGAATGTTCAGAATGTAACAATATCCAACACGAAGGCAAGAAGGTTCAAAAACAGCCTAGTCGGAAAACGTTTAATTAATTAGCTGCGCAAGAAAACCAGGTAAGTCTGGGGTTGTTACGGACAATTAAGAATGCGAACATACACGCTGAGCGAATTTTGGAATGAGCTACAGAGTTTGCATTTTTATCGAGGCTCCTTAGTTTGTTTGCTGTATGATTGTTCTAAATTCTAAAATCAATCGGCGGATGGCGGGCGGGTGCAGTTTTGAAAACCTTCGGTGCAAAATGGATAGCGGGCGGTTGCGAATGAAAAAATAGCCCATCCGCACATCTCTACCGCCCGAGCCAGAAACCAAAGTATTGTTTGCACATACTCAAAATTAGATGTGTATTAGACACTGCAGCGTGGTTGAGTATACAAAAAAATAAGGTAATGAAATTTAAGACCTTTGTGAATTATTTTTTTTTACTTGGACAATATAATTTAAGACTTTTTAAGGCCTTAATTTAGAAACATGAAATTGAAGACCTTTTTAAGACTTTTTAAAACACCGCAGCTACCCTGCTATTGCTCAAAAAAATGAAACAAAAAAAACAACAACATTGAAAATATGCATTCTTGAGGTCGGGCTTGTCTTTCCACAGATCTTGATCTAGAGGAGATAGAAAAGTATAATGCCAGACTGTGGAACTTTCAGACAAACAGACAAAGCAATAACATATTCACCATGGAGACAAGTCGGTAGCGTACCCTCCAATAGAAAGGTTACACAATTCCACCTCAACCCTAACCCAAACTTAAGCCCCAAAACTATATTCAACTTCATATTATGCTGACTGACATTTGTGTAGTTCCTGCTAGAGCTGGGTATCATTTAGAAGTAGCTGATACAATACATATCTCGATACATAGGCCACGATGCGATACATATTTCGATATAGTGCCCTTTCTGTTCGATATATTTCAATTTGATTTGATATGGTTCAATAAAAAATAAAGCCTAAATCATGGCTATGATACTAAAAGTGTTTGTTAAATCACTTCTTGTCCAAATGAATATGAAACACACCCATTTTAATCATTAAAAGTGTGAAAATGGAGCTTTCCATAAATAAATTCAAATTAAAATGAGTTTTCTTCCACTAAACAAACAACAAAACTGTAGCACTGTAACAAAATAATTTAGTAAAATAGACCAAAAAATACTCTCAATACAGCAGCCCACGATATCAATATTGTATCCTCACATTAAACGATACGATATATATCGATATTTTGATATTTTTGCACACCCCTAGTTCCTACACTTTTAATACCGGTCAAAAGTGAGCAAAAGCAAGAGTAGATGGTTAGCAGTTCATAAAGCTTGTAGACCCTACAAAGTACTAACTGGCCTATACGTACATGATGAATCCTAAAGTATCTCATAAAATACACTTAATATGTGATTACTACTGAGTAAAACATGCAAATGAAAGATATAAAAACATTTTGAAAAGAAGTCCCCGCATTTGGTCTCATAACCTTGGCATTCTTTACAGAAGTCGAAAACTCCTCTGCATTTTCCAGCGCTCTGCTTAAGTAAATACACTCTAAGAAGCAAATAACGCCTACTACCAGCTCATACTTTGACTTAAACTTTGTGTGCATACAGGCAAACATAACCTTGAGAGTGTACTAATAGTTCATTATTTGTTCAGGAGAAGGGCTGCTGGGTTATGTGTGCACATCATTTTAAAGAAGGGAGGAAGGGATGGACCTCACAGCGGCTCTGGCAAAACACAGCAAAGGGGAGCAGGTCATAAAACATACTGCTCAGGAATTTGAGAGGGTCCTGGTGTTGATTTCCTTCATTTACGCAGAACAGAACAATAGGCCCAGCTTCCTTCACCAGCTATGTCTGGAATGTAAGTTTGAAGATCAGACATGTTCTCTTGTTTTGTATAAATATATGAATACTATGAATACCCTTTGAATCAATAAAGTATCTATCTATCCATCAGTAATGGAAGGAAATGAAGTACAAGCAGTAAAGTAGTGTACTGAAGTAAAATTTGTAAGTATCTGTAATTTACTTAAGTTTATCATATCTTTATTTTTACTTCGCTACATTCGAACAGCAGGTATCTTCACTTTCTCTACTTTCTACATTTTTGAACCAGACTGAACATCACAAGGTGGAACAGCATTTGAGCTTTGGTAGACAAACTTTAATAGAGGATTACTCAAACATGTGGGAATGAAACAAAACATAACTGTATGTTTTGAATGAGGTAACAGCATTATAACATGACTTAAATCTCTCAAAAGTCAATGTTGCTTAATATTGGACCTTTTAATATGAATGAGAAGTCTGTTTTTGTGAAGACAGCATACGTTTTAGATTTAAAACATTCCCTGGATTCCCCAAAGATGATAAAGGGAATTTATTCATTTATTTATTTATTCATGTATTTATACCTCATTAGTCTTTACAGAGGTCAAGCCTATTATTTCTGGGGTCCAAGCCAGCATTTAATTTACAATAAAAACATAACATTATAATAACTTAAAAATGTGCCATGTGTTCAAGTGTATATTACATTATGGAACATTAGCCAGAATATGTCCAATAAAATGACATTGAATACAGGAGATAAAAGTTGGTAAGCTCCAAAATTGTGCTCCAAAAGTTTACTTGTACTTTATTTTGTAACTCTTAGGGATGGGACAAGATCACATGCCACAAGATCTCTTAAGACAAAACTGATACGAGATTGTGCACACATGCTGAAAATTATCTTGTGAGATTTTTTTCCTATGTTTTTACGAATGGATTGGATAACAAAATCAAGTACTGGTGAGTTACATTTTTTGAGAAGATGTAATCCCAAAAGCCACTGCAAAAATAAACAATTAAATAAAGTAAATCAGAAATGGTGTGGCCAAAATTAGGAACTGGATTGCGCAATTTATTTATTATGAAGAATGTCAAAATCTCGTTGATCTAATCTCGTGTCTCGTCTTGTTTTGTCCAAATTGTATCTCGTCCCATCCCGAAGTAACTCTTTTTCTTCAGCTGGAGTGCATGTTTGAATTTCCACTTGGGGAGGAATAAACGTAATTCTGATTAAGTTATGCTCCTAATTGTAATGTATTCTATATATCAGATACAACATATTGACTCACTACTGTAATGTGTTTCAAATTAAATTCCACTTACAAAATTATCTCTTATGATCTTATTATTCATAACCAGATAAAATACCTGGGATCCTTTTCCACACTTGTCTGACTACATGGATAATCTTGCCAAAGCCTCATTAAGCATAGACTCCGCTCATATGTAACCCTTCTTTTATAATGAATCTGGACCAAAATAGTTGCATTTAATTACTCACCCTTGTCAAAGAAAAGCACCCATTAGCCTGTAGCTGTTTATGAGTTTCTGAGCAGAGTTAAAATGCAAACCAGCGCTACAGCTAATGTGTATTAATCAAACAGAGGACAAAAATGATTAAAAACACGATCTTACCCTCCGTTCACCCCGACAAACTTCAGGTTTTTCTTGGCTCCCTTGTTCCCCGGCTTGTCTGCAACGCCATTTTTCTTCATAATAGATTTGAGTCCAGCTACAGAGGAGGAAAGGAAAAAGAAAGCAGCAGAAAGGTGTGAGAAATTAATTAGATTTCATAATATGCTGTGTCAAAAAAGTGCCGCAACATGTATAAAGTTACCTGTCAAAGACCTGTCAATCGCTTTCTACTACTCCTGCTTTCTTATTACTTTGGAAATATTGTTTCTACAAGATTGTCATGTAGATGCAGAAAACACCAAAATCTGATTATTATCTGATTTCTGGACATTTAAGATTTAAATCCTAGGTCCTATATTACACAAAATTTACTCTTGTGAGCTTTAAACCATGTTAGAATGTTGTTACCTTAACACAAACATACCCAGAGTTGTGTTTTGTTCATTCACACATGTTTGATTTTATTATCAATCTGTCCAAAACTCAAAATGCTCTGTTCCTTCTTGTGATGTCATGTAGTGGTAGTTTTCAAGTTAACAGCTCCTTTTACCTTTAGTTCAGTAGAGATGGGCAATTCCAGGACTGAAATTATCCAAATGATTTTAGTGAAGGTGTATGAACGCTTGTGGGTAAAAACGAAAAAATATTTTATAGGAAGTGCCTTTAGACGGTGATGGCATTTTTGGTCCTTAAAAACACAAAAATCTGAAACCACACTCCAGAGTGGAAAAGTTGAATACGCTACACTGTAGCATTTCTGTCTACACTGCCCAAGATGCAAAACTCCAGTCAGATCTGCTCACGTCGCGTATGCATTTAGGTCACATACATCACTACCTAGAGTCACCACTGAGCCACCTGGCATGCAGACCCAATCGAATTCCACACACTTTTGCGTCACCGTATGCATGCAGCTTTCCTCCCAAAAACGCTTGTTTAAACGCGGAATAAAAAGTGAAGCCATGTGAATGAAACAAAACAAAACTCCAGTTATGTCTGATGAGGAAACATTATATCATAAATCAGAAAATAGCATAATATGCAATCAAAGAGACAATGTTCAGGAAGAAATGTTAAGAGGTTTACATTTCATTTTAATAATCTTTTAACCCCAAAGTGCACATTTAACCACAACCAGTCAAATTGCTAATAAGTAATAAATAAAATAAATATGGTTAATAAAATAAATATGCATGTTTACTGCTTGAAATGAATACATAACCAACATTCGCAGTTTGAATTTTGATTTCAGTTCAATGCTAGTTAATCTTGCAGCTCCGTAGTGCTGGCAAGTCACTGTCACTGTCTACTCCACAGTGTCAGAGATTTCTTGGCGACTGTTGTTTTGTTTGTCTCAAGGCTTCACACAAGGTCACAATGATACGATACATGCAAGAGGATCTATCTGCAGACCGAAGCGATGCATTGTGGGGGATGACAGCCTCGGTGGGATTCCCCTGCTCTTCCAACAACTGCACTTGGAATCTTTATCTATTTTTAATCTTGTTTGTTAGATTAAGTTCAAAAAAAGGGTGTGTAGTGATTTATCTGTACTGTCTCTGGCTTCCTTCCCTACAGCACATTTTATCTGTATCATAGTGACAATTAAAACAACTACGTCTTGTTTCGTTGACCTGGGGAATACACGAGTTTGCTGTCAACAAGAGTACTCTGGATAAAACATACAACTGGGTGTATATTTTATTATATCCAAATGCTATTTTTGTAAATGATCCCAGAGCATGCAAAATAATATGACACCAAAAAGCGCTGTCATTATAATCGTCATTATCATTTCATTATCTGTTAGTGGGAAATTGATACTGAATTGAGAATTATACCAGAGCCAAATTATGATGAAGACTTAGTGAAAACCTCTCCATAACAATCAAGGTTAGAATCTGTGAAGGTAGTCTGACAGGTGATGTATGTGGGGATTGAGGCTGGTTTATGAAGGGAGACACACTTTTGTCCAGATGGCTGTTCCTCTCCTCAAACTGCCCTGACACAGATCTACTGACCCTCCTGCACTGAGACCTTTGACTGAGACACAAAGGTGACTGACAACAGCAATATTTGCTCTGCAGCTAAACTTAAATTTCCCTCGAGATCAATAAAGTATCTACAGTATTTAATGCTCTCTCCAGTATTGTATTCTCCAATATACTAGGCTTGTCAAATCCAGATCAATGCTTTTAATAGATTCTCACTTAAAGGTGCAATATGTTTCTTTTCTAGACTTTTTGGAGATGTTATTGCTTTGCTTGGATTGTTCCACAGTATGGCATTAAAGTTATCCATCTTCCATGTATTAGATTACTGGTGTTTTTATTGCTCAAAACAGCTTGAAAAATCATGTATTATTATTGTGGGTGGAGTCGCCTCTCTACAGATCTGACCTGTAACTTGGCCCATTGACATCACCTACTTTTCTTTACAGAAATAGGTAAGTTAAATGCCATATGGTGCTACACTCCAGGCAAAGCAATAACGTTTCCATGGGGGCAAGATGGTTGAAGGCCCCACAGATCAGTGTACTGTATATTTAGGGTTAGGGTTGCAAAGTTGAGTCTCTCCGTGCACAGTGAGGTGCACACTACCGTACTTAAAGGCGCACTATGTAACTGGGGGGTCTGCTACCTGCTTGTTTCCATTGAGATGTTATTTCTTTGCCTGGATGTTCCACGGCAGGGCATCAAGCACATCTCCCTTGCATTTTTTCAATTACAGGTGTTTTATAGCTCAAAAATACCTTAAAAAAACATGAATTCTTACTATGTGGTGACTTGCTTCTCCATAGATCTGACCATTAACCTGTCTCCATTGTGATTACTAAATTTATTTTCATACTGTGGAATAATCAAGCAGGCAGAGGTGGGACCAAGGCTTTGTTTTTTAAGTCTCAAGGCTTTGACCTCAAGTCCAAGTCAAGTCTCAAGTCAAATACAAGCAAGTCCAAGTCGAGTCTTGAGTCACTGGCCCATAAGTTCAAGTCAAGTCCAAGTCATCAGCTTTGAGCTTCAAGTCATTTCAACTCTTTAAACCAAAGTACTTAAAAAACATCCTAGTATATTTGTATGTGAGTATTTATAGAGTATATAAGTTGTAGAATTTAATTTAGTTTTTCCTTTTTAAATATCTTGACAAGATCTTAGTGTGAATCATTACGGTCAAAATAGAAAGAAATTAGATTTAAAAGTGCTTCTCAAGTCTTCTCAAGTCACAGGCCTCAAGTCTGAGTCAAGTCCCAAGTCACTGACCTTCAAGTCCAAGTCAAATCTCAAGTTTTAGTAAAATTTATCAAGTCTCAAGTCTTAAAAACAGTAACTCAAGTCTGACTCCAGTCCGATTCACAACTTGCAAGTCCCCACCTCTGCAAGCAGGTGCCACACCCTCCACCAGAAAAGTGCACATTTAACTGTTTGTATGTGTAGAAATTCAAGGCAAACTAAATATATTTTAGTATGTTATATTTTAGAATGTACCGTAGGTGAGGAGAAACCTTTTGTGAATTTCTTTTGATAGCTCACATTGTGTCCCAGCAGGTAGGAGACATTCCTGGAGAAGCTGGCAGTCCATATAATTATCAATATGCAGTAAAGTTACTTCCTGTATGTAGTCTGCATTTAAGTCTGACATTTGAGTTTTGTTGAGAATCATATTTGAAGGTGATTACTTTATTATTTAGAACCTTGCCTGAATTTATCTACTCTGAGCAACTTTGACTACAATCATAAATCATGTTACGTCTAATCTACAGGGTTAGCAGGTTTTACAAATGATAAGGCCTTGCGTAATTGGGATAATTTGTCATTTTCAGAGGACATTATACTGCAGTAAATAGCTCCTCACTCGCAGCCATTACATCTAAAGTATCCAAACACTATGTTGTTTATATAATTATGGACTACACTCTACACTACAGCTTTGTCAATTTCACACAAGGCTCATCTTGTGCTTGTTCTTGTACTAGAGGGCATTCTTCAGTATGCACAGGTCATAACATAAGCTTTATTGACATGATACAACCTTGACGCTGCCAGGCCTACTGATCTAAGTACACTGTAATTGATTGAGAATTGTGTTTTTGCTGACTCAAGTTTGACTCCTCTATTCCCGTATTTAAGATGTGACTTAGAGCAGATAAGGTGTTAAGGCTGACTGGTACAAAGATTTGGCATTGGCCCAAAAACATGAGCTCAAATAAGGATGCAGTCACCATCTCACAGGAATAATGTTTTTAGATACGCAGTCTCTCAGGGGAAAACAAGACAGGGAGAAAAGAGAGTGTAGGCAGTATTTAAATGACTTTCTGCTAGGAAGATTTACCATACATAAACAAACTCTTAAAATATGCACTTTTCAATGTAAGTTTATTCTGGACTAGGAGTTTAGGTATATGCACGAAAACTAATATTTAGTGTGATGAAATGTTGTTTTTCATGATTGCAGTCTAGTACCCTTCATGTTATATTTCTTGTGAGTCATTCAGTTCATTTTGAATGTATTAAAGCTGTCCTATGTAACCTTTCTCGTATAAAGTCTGCCACGTGATTGTATCCATAGAGATGTTGCTTTGCCTAAAAAGTTCCACAATATAATATTAAAGTTATCTCCATGAAGACAAGAAGGTGGCGCAACTAGGTGAAGTTACAAGCCAGAACTGTGGAGAGGTGACCTCGCTGACAGCATATTTTCAAGGCATTTGAGCAATAAAAACCATACTGTGGAACATTCTATAGGCAATAATATCTCCTTGGAGACAAGCAGATAGCAAGCAGACAATAAAGGTTACACAGTGCCCTTTTAATATGAATCTCTAAACTACAATGACAGTGATCTTAGGTGCTATGATACACAATTGTTCTTGTATTACACAATATGTCATGTATGATAAAGGATTTAAATTGTAAATGACCACTGTTTAACCACAAAGCTGTTCCATATATATTACCATCTCTAGAGGCATTACGCACAGTATATTTTGCACTTAAAAGAAGTCTCCAAGTGCATAACTCCCTCACTGAACTTCAAATGAACTGTGAACACATGTGAATGATAGCATAGCTGCAGCCCTCAAGCCAGAAGAAGAATGGACAGGCATCAGGAATACATAAGACATTGCATTAACCATGTGATGCTTACACAGTCACATGTCAATGCACTTTGGTTTATGTTTATGAAAGCAATAGTGCCTGGTGCGCAGGGCCAAGGAAATGATTTGTTGGAGGCTGATCATTAGAAGTGCTTCCTTACTGTGCATTCTGTCAATAAATAATGTGTGGGGGAAGGAGTAGGTAGAAGGGACACTAAATTATATGGTTCATAACACTTATTGGATGTCTGGCACTGAGCAGCAGATAATGAAGCATCTAAAAGCAGTTCTGCACCAGAGGGGGAGGGAGAGACAGCATTTTACTTTGAGTTTTGTACAATATAATGGGTAATGATTGCTATGCTCTACTTAATCTCTATCTCAAAATGCTTAAGAGATAATACTGTTAAACAAGTTGAGTTTGTTGCTCTATATCCTTGGGGAAAAAGTATACAACTTTTTCCATTATAGTACAAAATGAAATTTTAAGATTTACAAAATTTTGTACTGATGTGTTCTAAGACACTGCCCCCAGTGCTGGTGTTTAAAGGCAACATATTGTGTAAAACTTTTATGTGCTTGTAACTCTGTTTTATTGAGTCATACATGTGAGTAATTTTGCATTATTCTGCATTGGAGGCTTATGTGCTCTAAAAATTTTAGTTTTTACTTACCCCCTGTCTCCACCCACTAAACTGTTTACGATGAAGATAATGTGAAATAATGTTGTATAATACTAAATACCTGAAAAAAAGCATAAGTCTTCCTTAATTTTGTAAGCTATGCCATTGTAAGTAAGAACTGTGTAATTTAAATGCAATTTATTTCTCTGCCCTATATTGTAAATAGGAATTTGCTTATGCGACTACTAGACAGTGAGGGAGACATAATGCTTAATGCACTGGAAAGGGTCAAATATGAAAGGCAGACTTACCTTGCTCTTGCTGCTTGCTGGCTGCTGCTGCTTTCTGGGCCGGGGAGTAGAAGGCCGAAAGGACGCTGAGAGAGCTGACCAACTGACTCTGGATGGAGCTCATCTTGGATGGGGCTGGTTTCCCCGCTGGTTTACCTGCTGCACTGGCGGGGGTTGCCTTTCCTGCTGGTTTGGTTCCAGTCCCTTTTACTGGCTCAGCTTTCTTCCCCGCTGTCTGCTTTGGAGCACTTGGAGTCTCCTGCTGATTGACTGTCTGTTGCTGTGTTCCTGAACTCCCTAGCTGTGCCCACTGTTCACCCAAAAGCCCTGTGAGGCGCGTTACCACCTGTCCCAGGGCAGCTGGTGAAGTCGGAGAATCGCTTGACATTTTGCGTTGTGTTTCTGCACTGTCCCGACGTGAACCCTGGCCCTCTCCTGAACCACGGCGTTGAGCTGCTTCACTAGAGCCTCTACGGACTGGCTGGGTCTCACTCCCTTCTTTCTGCGTTTGAGCATCTCCGCCTGAACTTCTCCTAGAACCCTGAGCTGGGACGTCTTGTGATCCCTGGCGTGTTGTTCGTGAAGTGGGCTGGGTGACACTAGACACCTTTTGTGGAGCTTTGACTTCTTTCGAGTTCCTTCTGGTTGCTGAGGTTTGAGATTGGATAGACTTAGGACGAGTTGTAACTTCACTTTTTGTTTGAGGTTTGGACGGAGTTTGTTCCTGATTTGCCACTTTGTCTTTAGCTTGAGGCACAGGCGTGACTTTTGGGGGCTCTTGGACTTGTGAGGAAGTTGGAACGGTAGGTTGAGAAGTAGTGATGGTAGTGGATATCTGTTCTTGGGACGGTGTAGTTTTTTGCACTGGGGTTGGCTGGGCTGCTTGCGTTTCCATGGATACCCTACGTGGTCGGACAGGTGCGGGCTGAGGTTGTGTGGGTGCAGGTTGGGGCTGCTCATTTGAAGGTCTTCTACCTCTTTGGGGTCTCACAGGAGCTGTTGTTTTAGGAGTTTCAACCACCTTATCAGCGGACACAGGTTCTTTAACTTTGGGTCGGACCACTTCCACTTCCTGTTTTTTCACTGTTTTATCCACTACACCCACTTTAGTCTCAGTTACCTCTGTTACTTCAGCTTTTTCATCACTAGGTTCTTTGCTTTCTTCCTTACTTTCCACAATCTTTTCTTCGACTTTTGGTTCCACATCTTTAGCTGCAACACTACTTGAATCTACAACTATAGACTCATCGACTTTCTTTTCCATCTCTAAAATTGACTGTTCTATTTTGGTTTCTGCAACCTCAACTAAACTCTCTGCCACTACACTTTCAACAATCTTGCTTGCTTCTTGTATTGCTTGACTTTCGTTCATCACCTCCTCTGTCTGACTGACAACGGCCTCCACTTCTACCACCATTTCAGTACTTACAATTTCCCTCTCTTGAACCTCTACACGCTGTTCTACATGCGTTTCTACATGTCTTGCTGGGTTATTATCAAGTCTCCTCACCATCTCAGTTTCAGTTTGCTGGTCTGTCCTTGGCGCTGCCTCTGTCTCAGTCACCCTATCCACTGTACCCACCCTCTCTGTAACAGTCCCCCTGTCTACACTGCTGGTTCTTGGTCTTATCGGATGATTGTTCCCAGTTTCCGTTTCGGTCACCTGGTTAACCCTTTCAGCCACTGGAGTTTCCGTGGTCTGGTCTTGAGTTATTACCCTCTCAGTTTCTGTACTTCTTTCCATGCTATTCGCTCTCGGTCTTGGTGGAGTCATCACAACTGCTTCAACCGCAATTTCTGTCATTTGAGTGTGGACTTGGTTTGCGTCTACTCTCTGATCTACACTTTCTGCTGCTGGTTGGGGAAAGCATACTTCCACGCAGATTTTGTCCGTATCTGTCCCTTGGTCCACTGTGCTATGCGGTTCTGTTTCTGTCTCCTGATTGGACATGTCCACTCTTTCTGTAATCGTCCCTGTGTCAATGCTTTCCCTCCTCGGACGCTCCACCATTTCTGGACTACACACTTCCACCCTCATCCCTTCGCTCAACTGCAAAATTTTCTCCTCTTTTGCCTTATTTTCTTCTATCTGCCTTTTCAATAGCGAACTAGTTCTTTCTAAATCATCTGTAGCCTTTGAAAGTTTGGTCTCAAGTATTCTTAACTTTTCTTGCAGTTCCTCAACACTATCTACCTCGTCAGTTTTCGCTTTCTCCGGGCTGACATGTTGGCAGCTGTTAATCTTTGTATCTTCCACAGTCTCCCTAAGTGATATTACCTCCTGTGATTGCTTTTGTGCTGAATGCTCAGTTGAACTCTGTAATGTGTCTTGTTCTTTGCTGGATTGTTCGCTTTTGATTTCTGCCTCTGAGAGTTTACTAGTTTCAGCCTCTTTTGGTCTCACTTTGTCAGTCTTTGCTTCGCCCTCATCCTTCTCTGTCCCAGGTTTGGTCTCTAGGGTCTGTGTTGTCAAAGCTAATTTAAGCTCTTGTGATGGTCGCTGTCCTTGTTGTTGACTGTGTGTCCCTGTATCTTTACTTTCAGCTGCAACTCTGGCTTTCATCTGAGCTTGGAGCTGTAAAAGTAACTTCTCCCTTTCCTCTCTCAGTGCAGATATCTGTGCCTTTAATTCTGGTATAGTTTTGACCTGTTCTTCTAACTCTCTGACGCGTTTCAGAGCTACGGTGATCTGTTGGTGAAGCCCTGTCCGATCTTGGGGAATGCGCCGTTCTGTGACATCAGGCGAAGCACGAAACATATTTTCTGAAGAGCCATTTTCTGGAGTGACCAAAACTGGACTACTTGAATCAGAGCCTTTTCTTTGCTGCAAAGTAATGGGCATGCTGGATGCTCGGAGTAAGTTTGGTCGGTTTTGTAACTCTGCTGTTGACTTCTCATCAAGACGGGAGCCAACGCTCGTCTCGTCGCGTGGTTTTGGTGAGACATAGCCCTGATTTGTTAAGCCCCTGCTACTCTGACTTGTAGACCCCAATTCACTTCTGAAGTCAAATATCTGCTGGACTTCTGTCACTCTGGATTTTGGTTTGGGTCCCAGAGTGGATGTCCCAGACCATGCGGTGGTTTCCTTCGGAGCAGGTCTGACCCCATGTCCAGGCAGGCTGAAGTTCCGGGGCAATGTGCTAAATTTGGGTGGGCCTTTTATCCGTCTCTGGATGTGGACTCTTTTTATGGTGTTGCCTTTTTCAATATCATCGACATATTTGAGAAAGTCGAGGTCCAGGTGGAAGCCATAAGGAGTCTCCACTGAGTAGGGCAGCTGCTTCCTCTGAACCCCCGCCTCACTGCTCTTGGCCTGAACACCATTGGCTGTGGGGAAAAGGAGAAATCAATACAAAAATCTATACATGTCCTTCCACCACTTGTACTATTACAAATAACCACACACACAGAGAGAAATGGAAATAACAATGATACTAGAGCTGCGTATCATTAAGAATTACTTTCATATAATTTTATACAGGTTTTATTGTTTTAGGACTAGTATGATGATCGCATTTTTAGCAGTTATACCTTTTGTTGTCACTGTGCAGCACTTTGGAAACTGCTGTGTTTGTAAGATGTGCTCTTCTATAAATAAAGTGGATTTGGATTTAAATTATCCAATATAATACATACCTCGATATATCGACAACAGTACAATATGTATGTCGATACAGTGGGCTTTCGATTTGATACAGTACAATATGAGTTAAAAAAAGCCAAATCATTTCTGTAATGTTAAAAGTCTTTGGTAAACCACTACCTGTGCAAAGAAACACATAATTTTAATCATCAAAACAGTGAATATGTCAAATGTGTTTACTTCCTCTAAACAAGTAACACAATTGTAGTGCTGTCACAAAATAATTTAGTGAAATGTACCAAAAAATATTGGAAATATATATCAATACAACAACTGATATTTTGATACGGTATCAATATGACATTTGAATATTTTTGCACACCCTTTAATGATACAATTATACATATGCTCCGTGACAAAATCCACACCACCAAACAAACAGATAGTGATCAGTTATTATTCGCATGCACCATTTGTACAGACAGGCTGCCCCAGGATCACACATGGTGCTTCATTATGTAAAACCATATCACTTACCGGGAAGCAATTATCATGCAGTGATTGCGCCAAAGTAAACTCATCTGCATGCTAAATGCTACACACACTGTGAGAGACAGTGGGCGGTGATCACCTGGAGGAAATAAAGCCGATCTGCATGCAAGTGTGAGTGAGGCATGAGGCATGAGTCAACTGCTCACAACTTACCTCACAACACAAACCAACCACAAACCAACACAAGGCCTAGTTTTTTAAAATTTTTATTTATTAATTATAGCTATTATTACAAATTATCAGGTCCGACAGAAATTTGGGAGCCCAGGGCAAGAAGAATCACATGGGCTTCCCTCTAATATTAATTAATAGACAGAGTTTCCAATTCTGGGCCCTTACGATCCCAGGGCCCAGGAAAAAATACCCATTTGTCCCCCCTGTTGACTCCCCTGCTACTTTATTTCTATATTTTATTTTTACTTGTACATATATATTTCTATACTTATGCCTTTTTGACCCCAGTTTCTTGCAATTTTTGTCATTTATTTAGAATGTATTATTACCATTTATATTTTTGCTCTTTGTTGTTATAGGATATATGAGTATGTGTTAGCTGTGTCTGAATAATTTCTCTGGTGGATCAATAAAGTTTGTCTAAGTTTGTTTATTTATTTATTCTATTTTTTTTCTGTCTAACCCTTTCTTTTTATAGTCTTTAACTTTCAAATTATGATTATGATTATTATTATTACCGTTTTTTGTTTTTTGTACCGCCTCTTTTACTATCATTATTATATTCATGTGTCTCATTTATTTTTGTTTGTGTTGTTAAATGGAAAATAAAAAATCAATAAACATAAAAAAACACCCCAGGTCACCCTCGTCCGGTGAATTAGAGGATAAACTAAGAAACACCGCACAGATACATTCACAGGCAACAGCGATACCTACCACTTTTCTTGTCCATAATGGGAGGGAGAGTGTTCAGTCATTGATTTGTGTTTAGCGCAGTTGGAGCAGGCAGCCTGGAAAAAAAAGAAAGAAAAAGAGTTTAAAATATTGACTCTCACAAATATAACTTTTGTGGAGATGTGCAGAGATAATCATTGAAATAATAGTCACTTTAAAGATGCAGTGTGTAACTTGGATGGTGACTTTGCCACTCGCTTGTCTCTAGGAAATGATATCGCTTTGCCTTGAATGTTTTACAGTCTTACATTTAATACATTGAATAAAATACAAGTTACAGGTGTTTTTATTGCTCCTTAGTTCATGCATTCACACAGTAAGCAGTGTAACATCTCCACAAATCTTGCTTGTTACCATGGAAATAGATATGCTCAATGTCATATTGTGGCACATACCAAGGGAAAGCAACAACATCTCCATGGTGATAACCAGATGACGGACCTTCCACTTGAAATTTTAGCAATGCACCTTTAAATAAACATGTGGCAATGATGCACATGGTGTTTTTGTTGTAGCCAAACGTATAAATACATTATGCAGGGTTAACAATAACAGAATTAACAGTCTGACAGCAGATGGTAAAAGCTATTTAATTCCAACTAAGCCACAGAAGCAATAAGATGCACCACTGTATAGAATGAATTAACATATTTTTCAATGAACAAAAACATATGTATCTGATAGACTGAAAAGCTATTGTAAATTCAACACTTAACATAACACATGGACTGGAACATGGTCCATTCAAAACCACTTGTATCATTTGTTCCAGTTGACGAAGCCACAAAACTGGAGTTACTTTTCAGTTTAATCAAAATAGAAATAATCAAAACGTTAAAGGATTACAATGAGCACACTAATGAAATATCCAATAGTGATAAAAAACACAAGAGAGCCCACCCAACCTTGAATGAACCACACTATTTGAATCCGTATTAAATGAACCTCAAAACCCTTATGGCTAAACGCAAGCTCCAAGGCTGTTTAGCAAATAGGCCCACATTATTCACGCTATTTCCATGCACATTTGCTTCAGTAGAGAAAATATGCAATATTAAAGACAAAGGGCTGCTCTGAGGGCCCGAGGCTGCAGCTTAATAAGTGTTAGAGTTCAGACATATGAGAAGGTGCAAATGAATGCTGTCTGTATTCATCTGGAAACATGATTTATTACATCTCCGAAATTATTGCACGATTACAAACTTTTTAAAGCACAAGATATAACAGCTAGAGTCATAGTAGAACAACAAATTAGTTTTAAAATCATACTAACAAAATATGTGTTATGTATATAGACTGTGTATATAACTGAACACAGCTAACACGGTAGGCAGCATGTTCCAAATGGAAGTGGAATATTGTCACCCCTCTCTCCCCTTTGGGCTTCAAATGTTCGTATTAACTCGCTCTAAATGATCCTGGTGTTTTTACTTTGTCTGTTAATAAATTCCTATTCCTAATATGGAGCTCGACACCAAATTCACCCCTGTAACCGTTAGCCTCGTGAGCTTCATTTGACTTGGGCCAAAAGCAATGGGTGACGTCACACTCCCTTAGTCCACTTCTTTATACAGTGTATGATTATGTAACTTTTCTTGTGGGCTTTCCACCACCTGCATCTCCACGGAGACGTTATTTCTTAGTCAGGAATGTTACACAGTATAGTAATATACATCTGTCTTGCATTTAATCAATGAAGTTATTTATAGGCTTCAGCTTCCTGTCTGTGGGCAACATTTTGAGGATATTTACCTATACAAAAGATAGAACATTTTGGTTTTAATTATTATGGCTAGAATTTTTATTCAAATTTTCATCACTCTGAAACTCATGATAGGTGTCTTTTTTACTGTGGATGAGCTTACCCCTCCATAGATCTGACCTGTTACTTAACCTGATGGTGGCATTTGGTTTTGTACATTTAAATACAGTATATACTTGAAACTTGGAACTATACTCTGGAACATTATAACTAAAACAATAACATATGGATGGCCATGGTCTGAGCCCAGATTAGTCCTGCTACATACATGGGTTGCTCTAGTTCAAGTCCGGGTTTAGTCCTGGTATAGTCCAGGTTTATTTCTGGGTTTGCTCCCAGTTTAGTCCCACTTTTGATACGGTGTATGTGCTAGGGCGAGCACATCCATAATTCAGACAGGCAGATAATTACACGTTTCAAATTATAACTTAACTTAAAAACTTTTTTATAACACAGTTTAACAGCTTTGTTCTATTAATAGCAAATGTGACAAGAGCTCCATCTGCATTGGAAATCCCTTTGTCACTTGACATTTAAGTCTACAGTATACCTGGGTGTGCGCTTTGTAAAATTATATAAATAAAAAGATCCTCACGGGATTTCAGACACAGGCTGTTCTCTGCTTTTAAAATGATTACTTTGATGTCAAGAAACAGAATAGGAACTTACAGCTTTGCCCACACAGCATCAAAAGACCATCTTAAAAACTCTGAACACATTTCACAATAGCAGACTCCTGACCACACAGAAAGCCATTTGAAGTCCCTAATCAAATTCCAGCACAATTCTCCACCTAATGATATTTCCAAATGGCACACACAATTGCATTTGACAGAAGAGGGGCTGTAATTGATTACGTTAACATTTCATTCAGGTATTCATTAAAACATAATAAGTGTTGTGCTGACTCAGCTCCTGGAGTACTGCCCGAAACTGTTACTCAAGCAATTTACCAGATTTGATTAACCCTTGACCCTAGTTGAAAGGTGGGCAACAAATTCACCACAATATAAGAATGTGGTAGTAGTAGTAGTAGTAGTAAGTCAGGTAAGTATTAGGAAGTATAAGGTGAATACAAATTTGTAGTAATTGTGGGAAAGATGGGTGATTTCAAGATTAAAATTCAAGGATTTATTGTCTTTGTTACAGTAACAACAAAATTACATTTACAGCATTTATACAACAAGTGCAAATAGTATCAGTGAAATTCATAAAGTGCAAATACTGAAGTACATACTAGTATGCACTATTGATGTACTTAAAGCATGTAACACAACAACATGACATAAAAACAGAGGTAAATACAGTGTAAGAAGTATAATGAGTCCAGTTCACAGTTTTCAACAATATGCTTCTCGTAATACTATTAATAACCAACCCGATTTATCAGTTATTGGCCAATATTTGCACTTTTTAGTGAACTGGCTATTGGTCTTAAATATCCAGCACATGCCCATGACCTTTTTTTTTTTTTTGGCCAACCTGCTGCCTAAAGAGAACATTCAAACTTTATTTGAACACTTTAATGCAAATAGATAACTGCTAAAAATGTGACTATGTAGCCCTGTTGAAGGTTTGTGGTTAAAAAAAGGGACTGTAGGTGAGTTTGGCAGAAATTAAAATAACATAATTTGGCAAAAATGACCAAAATCAGCCCAAAAATATCAGTATCAACATCAGCCATGAAAAAACATATCATCATCTCTAATTAATAATACAAATCATAGCAGCAGTAATAGCAGTATTTGTAAGAATAGTAGTTTAACTGTAGTACTTACAATAGATGAGTCAGTATTGAAGTAATAAAAAGTCTAAGAAGATAATGGAAGTATATTAAAAGCAGTTATGTAAGTGGAATGATCTAATGAGCCATTGTAGAAGGAGGTATTAAATCATAGCAGTAAACACCTCACACATGAATACTAATAACTTTTGATTTATAGTGCATTTTGAACACTTAAACACACTTAATACTGCATTATTCATTCACTCTACAACAGGTGATGCCAAGTTACTTCTTTAACCACTGCACCCTGGGGTAGACTGCCAAAAGCAAAGCTGCCAATCTGCACCATCTGCCGCTTCCGACCACTACCAGCCACTCACACACGTCTCGTTTACACATAGGCAAAGACGGTGAAGTGCCTTGCTCAAGCACACAACAACTATATGCACTGGTCTGAGCAGGAATCAACCCACTAACCTTTAAAAGATGCATTGTGTAACTTTTCTGGTGGAGGGTCCGTCAAATGCTTTTCTTCACGGAGATGTTATTGCTTCATTTGGAATGTTTCACAGTATGGGCTTCCTATCACCATGGAGACCAAACCAGACCAAGTTACAGCTCAGATCTGTGGAGAGGCAACCCTGCTCATAGTCAGAGTGCCTGTAATGTAGAGCGGCTTAATGTCATACTGTGGAACATTCCAGGCAGAGCAATGACATATTCATAGAAACAAGCAGGTGATGGATGTTCTACCAAAAAGCTACCCAATGCCCCTTTAACTTGGGTGATTTGTCAAAGTCGCAGTAATAATACTCGCAATCCACTTAGCGAATCGATATTTTTAGGAAGTTTCAGAGTAGATATTGTGATTGCTTCTTCCTGCAGATATAGTTTGGAGTGAATTACAGGCAGCATTTGGTGTTTCCGGGAGAGCTGACATTTTGCAAGACAAGCATTTCACGGACTGGCACAGTAATCAATCAACATGACAGCTCGATCCACCTCCGGACCTAAACCATGACAAGCCCTATTTGTTCCCTATTTCTGTCCCCGTACATGAGGCTTTAATAAAGAGCCTGGCTAGTGACCTGGAGGAGCCCTGTTGTCACATCTGAACAGATAGAGACAAAACTGTACAGCACTGGCACATGGTTGACAGCGGGTGATTGATACTTTGACAATAGGGCATTAAGATTAATCATACAAGAATTTGAATGGACACAGTAAGAAAATCATAAAGGGTGCCATTTTTACAGAGCCCATATTTGATTATTTTCTGATCTATGTTATAATGTTGTTTCCTCATCAAAAACAGACCTAGAATTGTGTTTTATTTCATTCACATACCGTAAGTTTAACGCACAAACCCTGCATATTTAGGCTGAGTTCTTCTCTCACACTGAAAGCACTCGATTCTATTTTGATGTCAAGTGGTGATACAGGAAGTGCTCCTCCTGTGTTTTTAAATATATCTTCACTAGAATCATTTGGATCATTTCAGCCCTGGAATTGGCAATCTCTCCTGAACTAAAATTAAAATGTAGCTGTTAACTTGAAAAGTACATGAC